CGTCAAGTCGGAGTTTCTGAACTCATAATAATAAGTGGACACAGAGGGCGCGAAGCAAGTTAGTAGCGGCGCGCGGTTTCGTTCGATGTGTATCCAAAGCAGAAACGAAGACGTCACAGAGATCCCGACTTGAGTCAAGCCTACGAAAAAAGAGGAATTGAGCACGCAAAAGAATTCCATTTGAATGGCCCTCAAAGCCACGAGTTGCACCAGGGAAGAACATGCAATCAGTGTTCTCCACTAAGGAATATGTAGTTAAAATTATCCATGATGTAAATCGGCCTCGTGGGGGAGCGTTTAGTTCCATATAGCTGACTACATGGTCCCAACGGCTACATTGTGATGCCTTTCATCACTGGACATTTGTACTAGAGGTGCATGGCGACCCATTATAACTTTGTTCCCAAAAATATTTACCTTGGTTTAAAGACTGTGATATTAAAAGAGACTGAATCAAATTAACCTCTTGTGAGTTAAATCTGAATAAAATCTGGTACCTTGAGTTATCTGATTGTACATAAACATAACAACTCGAATTCCAGAGACTAAAGACATGTTGCTATACTTTATGATTCAGGGCAAGCATTTTGTATAGCGACCGCCATCTCTGCAATGGACTGGTTCCTTTGTGCCCTTCTTATCCATTGAAACAGTGCATTGACGAAGGTGTCTCTTATGTAACTATAGGCAAAAGCTTGCCTCGAATCACGAGGTATAGCAACAGTGTCTTTAGTATAGTATAAAGAATTCAAATTGATATGTTCATGTGAATTTAAACAACTCAGTGTGCCAGATTTTATTCCAATTTAATTCGCAAAAGGCTTACCGTAACTGTACTCCGAGCATGACTAACATCAGTCGGTCCTTTGTAGAACCCAAGAAAATCTCACTTGATTGTGAACGCCACGTCTGAATATCATCAGACGGTGATTTCTACATCCTTACTGAATCTCGTTTTTATTTGAACAATGCCTGATTATAATTCGACTGTAGATGGTGAATCTCTGCGACCAAACCAAACCGCTTTTGAACAAGCACGACGAAAGCACAGCAGGTCTGCTTATCAGATCGGCATTAGATAGACCAATCTTCTGTGTCTTCTGACTTGAATTCAGTCGGATCCATTACAGAGATATACGATCCACCCCTGTCACGGCCGAATATACACATACGCAACAATGTGCCATCCCCCACCCTTGCAGATATGTATACGGCTATTACCTGAGCATATTACACTGTCACATTTGTTCGTCAGTTCGAATTACATGTGGTCGAGAGTTTTGTTTGTAAAAGATTACGCTTTTTTAGTGATAACATATTCACATTAAAATTTTCAAATACATGTATCAATTGACAAAACTTTCATAGCAAATTTGCATCCCATTTCATAGACAGATATACGTTGCACTCTTACAATATGACACCTTTTGCCTATTCTTTAATGAAAATAAACAGGGTCGTTTGAAAAGCCACACTTCACGAACAACATTCTTTTTTCGTGCTTAGTTCTAAACTTACTATGTGCATCCCTTCAGATCAGCTCTTGAAAAAAAATGAATATTTATGATGTACAATAAAGAGAGCGGTTAAAGTCGGGCGGAGCCTATCCGAGTAAAGTTTTCATTGGGCGACAATGATGTTCGTAAGTCGCTACAGTTTAACGTACGTTCACCTCGAAGGAACGCTATTTGTATTAATTTTACATTGCAGTTTTAAACGTACACACCGTCCTCAATTGCGCCCTTTGCGTTATAAAACGTATTCCCCATGAAATACAACCTATGGAAAGGTCATTAAGTGAATGCCCCCAAAAAGTGTTGGTTGTATAATTGTCGACCGAAGGAATTTCGAGGTTCCAAATTTTGACTCCCGAAAATCTAGCGATGTCTTCAAATATATTCACACAAACGGCTATGTGCTCGTCGCTTGGAGGAAGTGGACAAATGGGCTAAATACCATGCAGTAAAGCCCACAGCTTTACTTAACATGGACCGCAGTGTATGTTGTCCTCCAATGTGTTCGGTGGCATTGCCGAGGGGGAAACACCCCCCCCTCCATTCTTGCTCCCTTCATGCCTCTCTGAGAAGAGCCTGGCTTCGCCACTGACTGTGTTCGTGAGCGGTTCTTGAGCCGCGCGGCGCTCACGGCTGATCGGGAGTAGATTTGACTCAAGTCGGGATCTCTCCATAGAGGTGGGTAACATAGAGTTGGATATTATATCCAACTCTACGGATCTCTCAGACGGCTTCATTTCTGCTTTGCATACACATCGAACGCGCCCTCTTTTGTCCACTTATTAGTATGAGTTACGTTAAGGAATATCGACTTAATTTAACGAACCTGTCAACCGTTTGTACACAGCGAATAAGCTCATCTACCTAAAGTGGTAGCAGCCAATCACATTGCTTGTTTTTATGTCGTTCATACCTGCATCATAATGAACGAGTCTACAAGTCTGAATACTTTGATTGGTGTAAATTCCGTATACATATGCAAGATCATGTCGTTCACATTTAAGAATAATTACATATTACCAACAGGGGAACTGATTGGCTTATCCCTTAAGTCAGACTTACTGACAGGTGACGTATGACATACGTTGTACAATAGGCTAAAGGCTATAATGAGGGCGCCTTATAAGGGTTATACCGGACCGAGCGCGACGACCGTGTGTAGTGCGCCGACCGGCAGAAGGGATGGCTGACTTAGGCCCGCTTCAAACGTCGAACTTCTGCCGTGTCTAATTCAATTACATGTTAATTGCGATCGACATAAAAGCGGCAGAAGTTCAGTAGTTGTTTCAAACGCCAGTTTTCTGTTGACCTCAATGCCAAATTACAACATGGCGGAAAGAGCAAGAATGATATTGTGACATATTCTCATTGCGAGAAGAAGACTTTTTTCTCGCAACAATCAGCACTACTCAATGTTATTGCAACAAGGAGAGTTCTAATCGTACGTTCGCTTGTCCTGCTACTCCTCCTTTCCAGGGAAAATGTTACAAGACCCCGGTCTTGTTGACGGTTGGTCAAGAATACAGGTTGGCTTGAATTGATGCTAAATACGAACTCTGAGAAAAGATTCAGAAGGGCATTTCGTGTTTCAAAAGGAACCTTTGAATTCATCCTGTCACACATAAAACAAGATTTGGAGCGGAACACAGTAACAGAAATCCCCATATCTCCAGGGCATAGGTTAGGAATGTGTCTTTACAGACTAGCCAGAGGTGACTACAATTATACTGTTGCGGAAATGACAGGTGTCGGTGCGCCGCCATCTTGTTTTAACGCCGAAACGAAAACAGCTGTTAGGGCGCATGCGCATTTTAAAACGATGTTCAGAGTTGGGACGTTTAAATTGAATTAGACACGGCAGAAATTCGACATTTGAAGCCGTGCCGCTCTTCTGCCGTTAGAAGCGGCAAGACCTGTCAAACTTTCGGCAGAAAGCCGACAGTTTCTTCAAACGTCGAATTTTCGCCGTGTCTAATTCAAATTTTGGGTCATTAATTGAATGAGACACGGCAGCAGTTCGACGTTCGAAGCGGGCCTCAGGAAGAGTAACGCGAATCCGACTTGATTCAAGCCTAATCGGGGAGGTGCACTTAGCTTGCAAATTGCCTTCAGTGCTGGAACTGCTACGCCTACAGCCTCTGTACGAAACTAGTCAAGTATTCAATATTCATGATACAAAGGAAGCACGTTTCTGAACGCTTTTGACGAGCAGTTTTGCATTTACGTCACCACGGAAGCTTTTCCTTTGCTCTGTGGCTAAAGCAACGAGAACTCCATGTCTTAGACAAGGACAACAGGAAGAAAGCATCAACTCTCTGTCGAAGAAATCGCTTACTGAAAATGAAGGAGAAAAATAATCCTAGGAAGAAGGCGAAACGAACTGCAATGGATCCGAGTCTTTGGGCGAAAGCAAACACGCAAGTAGTTACTTTGATGGCTTTTGTTCGTTGCTGCATGGAAATACGAACGCAAGCTTCAAAAGGACTATTTTTTCATCGTTTCTCCATATTAGGGTCTGATCTTTTGACGTCACAGTCATGTTTTCCTACAAGTGGCTGCAAAAACTATGGTTGGCCGTCGGTTCAAAACTAAAAGAATAATTCCCAAAGTATTAGAAATCCCAAGCAGCTGTTAGAACATCAGAAAATAATAGATGTACTATCAAACACTAAATGAAAATACAACCTATTCAAAATCAATGGGAGAATTACCATTTTGAACGAGTTGAAGGTAAAATCCAAAACCAACTAAAAGGTGATATTTCTGCAAACTTTGGCCGCCCACCAATATAAGACACTCAGTTGGTCCCCTTAAACCCGTACGTATGCAAATTAAACATTCTAAAACATTGAACTTTGGGCAATTCCGAGGCGGGATGTACCTTTTAGAAAATGTTGCTCAGTGAGACCTTACGCCCTAGGATGGAGACAAAATATTATTTAAAATTAAATGGATTTCACTTAATAATACCAAGCTGTTTGTCTGTAAATGTAGTTGAATTTGATTGTAAGGTAGGCTATCCCTTTGAAACATTCTGTGATTCTGCTTAAACTGAATCCGTACACCAATTCATAACATTTGCCTACTTGCAAATCCTGCGCTTATAGTCAAGATGTGGTGTAATGAAACTTTCCGACTATATTAAAATGTTTTTCATTCAAGCTACGGATTGAAATTTCCAACTCTGTCGTAGTCAAATTCCCAATTTACTATAAAACCAATTCTATTTCAAAGTTTAACCAACAGCACATTTAACACCATGTCGAGAAAATTCTTCATCATAGATTGAATTTGTCTTGCCACATAGCAGCATTCGTACTTTAAACTCTTTTTATATCGAACACTTAAACTTTTAGGTAAGTTGGTTTTGTATCCTTACGCATTTTTTTGTATGTTCTGTTTGTTATACAAGTTAACTTCACATTCCAACGGCAGATTAAAAACACTGGACGTGTAAATATTAACAAGAACAGTGGAGAGTAAACGCTGATCAAACTTCTATGACCTTTATTTTTCTGGTACTCAAGTGTGTACCGAGGACATTTTAAAAATGATTCGAAGAATCAAGCATTTATTGATATAAAAGAGGAAAACATCTGTGTTTCATTATCTACGATCCTTGTACCCTCTATCATGGATGTCACAGTGATTGTTAAATTGCAATGCGCAATAGATGAATTCGTTTCTGAATGCCGTGCTTTAGGCTCGGCAAGACTAAATCGAGTAATCCTGTGTGCTCATAATTTGAATTCGACTAAACAATAAAGACGGTATTTCAATTGACTAAGACAGAAGTTTTAACAGGGGTAGGAAACCCGATCAAAACGGAATATTGTTTGGTTGGTTGATTTCGATAATAGCAATGAGTATTCATATTCATTTTTCATTTGTGACTAATTCTAATTTACGATAGAACATATCGTAACTCGAATCTCGTTGTTTCTGATTGATTAACGAAGCATGTGACAACGACGATATTCTAAACGAAAGTCTAACCGATATATTTTGCATAATACCCTTAAGCGATCAACATTCATTTAGCACTTTGAATCAGAATGTTTTTTATGTGTTTGCCCAGAAGCATTTGCCTTTTACTACCGTATCCTGGCGCGGCATTGTTTCTGTTGCAGTAAATTTCATCACAAGTTCTAACACATTCATCTCAAGTTTTAACAAGTGAAATTACAAGTTTTTACAAGTCGTTTAGGCTCATGTTAAGGTACAGCCTCTTCAAATGTTGGCAACGGCATTCCTCTGTTCAAATCCACCGTTGGTACAGCGTTAACACTACAAAGTGACAGAGCTTCACAATTTGGTCAATGTTCTATCGCCGGAAAACTATCTACACAGCGCACTGAGTTTTTAGTCTTGTTGCTTACAAAATGGTAGTTAATGACTAATTAACTACTCAGAATAACTACTTTGTTGTTTACGGCAACACTTCCAAGCAAACAACTTTATTTCGAAAAATCTTCAGCCATAATTTTTCAATTCTGTGTAGAGTTGTAAACTATTAAAATATTCACAATACCTAGTGCCATTATTAATGATTGTATTTTGTACAACACTTGTGAAGGTCACACAATGGCACACTTACTTTGTTAAAAATGTCGAAAATTATTATTTACAATGAGTAACTTCCACTAGTCCTTTCTTGAAACTGCATGGCCACAAAAGCAAGCGGCAGCGAAAAGACAAAATAATTTCGGTTCGAATGTTGAGCAAAGAATCAAACATGTTTTTAAGCAAGTTCACCGTCTAATCTGAGAGACGTATTAACATTAAGGACGTGACTATTTTCGGGACGTGACTGTACCGTCAACATACAAATTGGGAACTTTGATTGCCATTTGAATCAAGTCGCATTTCAGTCATTTGAGGAACGTTGCAGGCCTTTATATAATGTATTTGTGTTACTGCTGGCCCGTAGGTTTGGAGAAAAAGCGTAAGAAGAGAAATAGGCTGGTGAATGGCGTTGTTTTCCAAGTACCATCCGACACCGTATGCTGTCTCCTTGAGGCTTTGACGAAGGATGAAGACTTTCCCGCCAATTTTTCCCCACTCAAATCCTATGATACCTTCCTGCTCGGGTCCGCTCTTTCTCAATCCTATCCAACACTTTCTTTTCCTGTTCTTTTTGCTGCAGAGAATGAAACAGAAAACAGAGCAAGATTGTCAGCAAACAAGGGACGATTCACTTTGCATTGGCTGTCAGTCATTTGCCACTAAGAGGCTTCTTTTAACTTCAAGATGGAATAATTCGCTATTACGTTTAGAAAATTGGTCCCCCACCTACTAATATTTGGATCCGCCCCACTTCCAATCGTATTTCCTCAGTTCTTTGATTAATTTAGTCACTTTGTTAAAATTTTATACTGCAGCGGAATACTTTAATGTATAACATTTCGAATGCAGCATTTTTTTTCTTCCAAATGAAACGCTTGCAATAAGTTTGGAGTCTTTCCACACATAATCGGTTTGAAATGTTCAGAGGCCAATTTTATAGAGCTGGTAAGCAGAATACATTCAATTCACTCAACTAAATGCCCAGCAATCCGCTCCGAGCGCAACAAAAGAGGGCTTGTTTTGGGGTACTCGCCATTGATCATTCTCCATTATGGAGATCAATGTACTCACCGCACAAGCGCGCGTTTGATTTCGTCACAAAGGCAAACGTGCCACGATTTGCAGGCTCTCAGTGGACAATCGCTGAAGGTGTGCGTTAAATTCCGGTTCCATGGTTCCATGTAAACGGCGATCGATGCATGTTACCCAATGTGCAGTGCATGTGTGTAGTGGGCGTGGTTGAAACTGTAGTGACGTCACACTTACGAACCGGAGGGAGACCAATGGTGCGTTTGACGCAGAGTACACTCAGTAAGTGCAAAACGCGTGTAAGAACTCATTTGGAATTTTACCGTCCTTCTTTTGCCGCTTGCGGGTGCTCTCCTACTCAGGGCGGATAATAACCGAAGAACTAGTCTCGATATACATTGAATGGCACCTTTGCTGGTAAATTGATTTTGTTAAGCATACAGTTTATGTGCCTATAGCAAACCTCTGTGCTTAGCATTAAAACGGCAGTTCTACGAAATTGCACCACGAACTTTTTCTTCACAAGTTTCAGAAACCTGTAAAAGACGAGCCATTGTGTCCTGTACTTTTAAAGTTCAACCCTGCGTTCAACACTCTATCATTTATCAACACTCACCTGTCTGAGCTGCTTCTGTCTCTCTGCGATCATCTCCTCCTTGGTGAGAACCCGCCGCCTTCCCCTTATCTTCTGCTCCTTCTTCAACTGCCAGGCGATCAGCCCGCTGACGATGGCGGACAGCACGCTGAAGGCGCAGGCTACGGCCGTAGTGGACAGCGCCACCATGACCAGCGTGTCCATGGAGTCCTTCAGGAAGGTCTGTCCGTCTGTGGTGTGGTTGACCAGTCCCAACCGGAGCAACTGGATGCTAACAACGCACGTAATCAGGCTGACCACTGAGGCGGCCGTGAAGCACAGAATCTGCCGGCAAAAATCAAATAACTTTACGCTTTAACGCACTTATTCGGCTAGCTTCAAGAGGGCGCTGTTTTTAGCTTCATGTCAGAGCTGTTTGTAGAGCAGTTAAGAGACACGAGTGTCTCCGGTGTTGGAACCGAAATGGTGGATCATCAGAACACATGGACAATTAGCACACAACAAATGCATGCTGTACTGCACGCATAATGAAGAGCCATTTTGGTTCCAAAGTCTGAAGTTGGCGCTATACTTTCTCTACAAAAGTGGCTTCGTGCACCGTGTCCTCTTCTCGATGACAAAGAGAAGGGCTGGGCCGACACTGCATTATGCACCGACCTGCCCCAGCCAAGCAAAACCGCTCACATAACTATCAAGAGTAATTTGCATATAACAGTACCCGCGAACAAGCCCGTCTGTGAGGACCAAAGAACATCTTCGGTGCACTTTAGGTTGCTGGTACATGGTTCCCAGCCGTGTCAGCGATAAATCATTGCAAGCATGTGGCCACGGTCCACTAAAATAAAGTATGACGACCCCCCTCTTACAAAAATTAGGAATACCTAACAAATTGCAATGAAGGCGGGGAAGCAATTCACACACGCTTAAAATTCGCAAAATGCTGACGGCAGTACCTGAAATTTAACAAAATGGGGTCTGGAAACCTTCAGCCTGGCTCGGAAATTAACGGGAACGGGAGGCATTCATGCACACGAACGTGGCGACTACTGGACCTGAAGATTTCTAGGCCATTACTGGTTGACAAAGCGTGTGTTACGCCACCAAGACTCTTTGCGCAGTCCTGAACTAGTGACAGCAAAGACAGTACATCTTTTAGTTTACTCCATCTGGTTCTCGGGCACGCAGCTCACTTTTTAAATTGCACTTGTGGCATGGCTTCTTCTGTGGAAGCAAGTTTCCGTTGAAACGCCTACCTAAAATAGTCCAGCGTACACAGGATGTCAACGACAATAGTCAGGAAAGTTGAACCTAGCTAATTTTTACTGACAACGTGAGATGTAGTTTGCATACTGGGGTCGTTACAGATCTTTCCATAAGATGAAATCATGGCTTTGACATTTTGTGTCGATTGACTGCGCATTTCCTGATTCCGTGTTCGTAGGCCCCTGACACTAGTGTTCTGTAGGCCCTACCTTGAGCTGGACCAAGAAAGGGCGCTACTTTCCTAGCAACGGAGGTTCCTTGGTATAACTGCACATCGCTGGTTCACGAACGACTATATGAAATGCAAGCTTTGCAGTTGCATCACTACCAACAAAATAAACACTCCCGACCAGTATGGCTCTTTCCAATCGAGGAGGGTGTGTTTCTGCTCATGGTGGATAGTCACCAGCGCCAACATTTGACGCTGGTAACTGCTCTGGCACGTTGCATTTCATGTCGTACTATAAGCAGAACCAAGCTGTGCGCGAACTGGGTTGAAGCTTTCCCACAGTCGAAAACCTGGAGAGGGAATTTTAAACATTTGAAAAAGTCTTGAGCGATCAATGTGTGTGTTTTATGGAATTTCGTTGTTCCCGAATTTTCCCTTCGGCAGACTATATATTGAATAATCCGGCCCTGTGTCTGTGTCCTCTTTTCCGGTTATTTCATTCATATGTCATCTGTCATCTCCGAAAGGTGTGAAGTTGTCATAGCCGTTTAACTCGACCTGCCTCTCGCATTCAAATCCCAACCACACCCTCAAGCCGCTGAACCCTTTTAACCTAAGCCTTGCAACCAGGGGACACACGGGGAGGGTGACTCTTGTCGAGTCAATGGGAGACAGAGTTACATTATTTCTGTCATCACTAGTGGCAATACTCCTCCTGACCCTGCCGTTCCCTTACGTGCACCCACTTTGAAAGAGGTCAAGGCAGCCATTAGAAGCAAAAACAGATGATCCTGACCACATTCCCCCGGAATTCTTGAAAAACGCTATAAATTCTATCAGCTCAGCCCATAAACTCTTAACCCGTGTATGGTAGTCTTGCAAAATCCTAGCAGAATGGAGAAAAGGCATTGTCAACCAGGTTAAGCAGGCTCAAGCACCGATCGTCGCACCTACAGACTCATTGAACTTCTGTCTCGCTGGAAAAGTCTTTCCCTTGTATTCCTAGCACGCCTGGCTCCTCTGCTCACAAAACACGGACGTCTTGAGCAGTCTTGATTTACAGCTGGGCGCATATCTCAAACAGGTGTGACGCGCTCCAACAGAAGGCATCCTGTCTTGGCCTCAATTTCTACAGACAGAAGACTAGACATACCTTGAGAAAACATACCCATAAACGGGGTCCCACATGGACAATCCATCGAATTTGTCGACAATGTTCATAAACGTCGGCAGCAAGATATCCAACACTGGAGTAAGCGAGACTGACCCTCAAAGGAGACTATAGGTCTTGCCTCTTCAGCCATGAATGGCGGACACAGTGTGGAAGCAGAGGAATTTCATAATCCACCAAGCAAAAATGACCCATGAATGGACAACAATGACAAAGTGAACACCTTTTTTATCAAAATGATGTGCATGAGGGGTTTCTGTATAGGGATGCCATCCTTACTGACTATGCATACACATTATCGACAAGTAATGATTGTGACTTCTTTTAATATTTCGTCCTGTGACATTGATTTCAGCGTAAAACTTAAGGCTCATTCTGTTACATTCTGTGACCTTTGATTCAGTAATTCCAATTACACACTCTAGACTTTTGTTACCTTACACATCCCCCCTAGATCTCTGTAAAGAATTTCTTAGATTCCGATTAAACAATGACCAACACAAAGGTGGGGGATGCTCTCCGTCCCATATCTTGCTACATATAATTGCCTGGATTATCTTGGTCGTCCATCGATCCGATGATGACTGTCCTCATGTTAGTCCCTATCGATGACGTGCATGCACACGGAGATAGCTGGTTAGGCCAATTCTTGATCGGCAGACGCGGATGCAGTGGGGGCAAGGAAACTGTCCGGGGTGGTTAGGGTCAGTGGCTGATACCTTTCTTCTTGCCCGTGCTGCAGTCACTTCAGCTCGCCTCTTCTCCTCAAAGTTGTCACGCGCCTGGGTGGTGAGGGCGCGCCAGCCTTTTCTGTCCATGGCCTGCAACTCCAGCTGCCTGGGAGGGATGCCAGCATATTTGATGTTGGCCTTCATGCAATCCTTGAAAGTTTGCGTGGTCTGCCTTGGTTACGCTTACCATTGCGTAGTTAACCTTACATGAGCTGCTTTGCTTTCCGGATCACGTGACCATCCCATCGAAGCTGGGTCTTCAGTAACATGACCTCAATTCCGGTCATCTCGGCTCTGTCCTGGACCTCGAGGTTTGTGATCCAGTCTTGCCAGCGAATGTTAACGATTGACCGCAGGCTTCTCATATGAAACTTCTCCACCTGCTACAGGTGTCTTTTGTACACAGTCCACGTCTCACATCCGTATAGGAGACTGGTGAGGACGACTGCCCTGTACACCTTGAGTTTTGTGGACAGCTGGACGCTGCGTTGGTTCAGGACACGAGTTCGGAGGCGACCAAGAGCATGATTAGCCTTGCATATCCTGGCATTTATCTCTTTATCCAGGCTGCCGTCGTTGTTGATGGTACTGCCAAGGTACTTAAAGTCATCCACCGTCTTTTGCTGTGTGCCCTCAGTTGAGATAGAGGGTGGATGGGCGGTAGAGGTGGGCGCTGGTTGGCATAGTACCATTGTCTTGCTGAGGCTTATGGTGAGGCCGAAAAGGCGGGAATCTTCTTCAAACTTATCTGCGATGAGCTGAAAATCAGTCTCCTTGTGGGCCATGAGGGCACAGTCATCAGCAAAAAGTGCCTCCAGGATGACCTTCTCTACAACTTTGGTTCTGGCATTCAGTCGGTGGAGGTCGAACAGTGAGCCATCAAGTCTGTATCTAAGGTGTACCCCAGGGTCCAAGTCCCTGACAGCGTGGTTGAGGACACAGGTGAAAAAGAGGTTGAACAAGACTGGGGCCAGAACGCATCCCTACTTGACGCCGTTGCTGACGTCAAAAGGTTCTGATATCTCTCCACCCGAGACAACCTGCCCGATCATGTTGTCCTGGAACTGAAGTCCAGGTTGACAAATTTGTCTGGGCACCCGAGCTTTGATAGGATGATCCAGAGGGCCTCCCTGTTCACTGTGTCGAAGGCTTTGGTGAGGTCGATGAAGACCGCAAACATGTCCATGTTTTGCTCAAGGCATTTTTCCTGAACTTGACGGACGGAGAGGATCATGTCCACAGTGCTGCGGTTTGGGCAGAATCCACACTGTGTCTGGAAGGTTTCCTTCGGGTATGTTCTCAATCAGTCGATTGAGAAAGATCCGAGCCAGTATTTTCCAAGCAATAGAACGGAGGGAGATGCCCCAGTAATTGCCACAGTCAGTCTTGCTACCCTTGTTCTTAAATAGGGAGACGACGACAGTGGCATCCCTGAAATCTTTGGGCAGTTCTTCTTCTTCCCAGATGCTGGTGAGGAGATAGTGGAAAGCGTCAAGGGCTACAGGGCCGGCCGATTTAAATATCTCCGCCGGGATTCCATCCATTCCGGGTGCTTTGCCTGAGCTGGTTTGCCTTATCGCCTTCAAGACTTCATCCATTGTAGAGGGAAGGTCGAGGCAGTGGACAATGGGCTTTTATGGGATCAGAAAAAGAGCGTGGGGGTCTACATTGGAGGGCAGGTTGAGCAGGTTGCTGAAGTGCTCTCTCCATCGTTCGTTGATGCTACATTTCTCCTCTACTCTACTCTTCTCCTTTAGTAGGGTTGAGCCGTCTGCTGACAGTAGTGGGGCAATACATGGCTTAGAAGGTCCATAGACTTGCTTGATAGCGCTGAAGAACATTTTAGCGTTCTGCATGTCAGCGTATCTCTGGACCTCGTCTGCCTTTCTCTCCCACCATCCTGCATCTTGCGCAGTGCAATCTGGGCCTGCTTCTGGAGGTTCTTGAAGCGATAATACTTGGAAGTGGAGGAGGGGTCATTTTGCCACTCAACAAAGGCTTTCTGTTTGTCGTCCAAAAAGTTTCTCGATGTGCTCATCGTTCTCGTAAAACCAATCTTATTGAATTCATTTTTTGGGGCCTATGGTGGATTTTGCTGACGACGTCACCAGTATTCTGAACTGCTCTCACTTTTGAGTTGGGCAGCCAGTCAGCGGTCCATGGGCAGTCAGTCGGTCGTCCAGGTCTTCTGCAAATTCACTGCGTCGCTGATGTTGCTCAAGCATGGCGACGTTGAGCGCTGGTGTGAAGACCTTTGGCGTCTTGCGGTGAGTTGGGACGATATGTAGGGATAGAGTAATCCTGACTACACGGTGTTCCGTCCAACACTCTGCTCCACGCATGGCCCTGGTGATTCTGATGTCATGGATGTTTCTCTGGCGGCAGATGGCAAAATCTATCAAATCCCACTGTTTTGATCTTGGATGTATCCATTTTGTCTTGTACTTGTCGGCCTGTCGGAACATGGTGTTTGTGATAGCGAGGTGTTGTTCAGCACAGAGGCTCAAAAGCATTAAGACGCCTTTCCAATTTCTGCTGTCTGCTCCAATTCTGGCGTTAAATCGCCCAGCAAGATGAACTTGTCACTGGAGGGGATGTCCCTTATAAGGGTGCCAAGCTCCTCATAAAAAGCTTCCTTTACTTCATCGCTGCTGGTAAGGGTTGGAGCGTACTCACTGATCAGGGTAACGTGCCGGGTACGGTTTAGAGGGAAGCGGAGTTTCATGAAACGTTCATTCACTGATGTTAGTAGATCAGGGAGTTGTTTGAGGAGGGATGTCTTGATGGCCAGCCCTACTCCATGAATTCCCTCTTCATCTTTGGCCTTGCCTTTCCAAAAAAGGCGTAGCCACCTTTCAGTTCATACACAGATCCTTCTTCAGCAATTCTGGTCTCGCTGAAGGCCTGGGAACTGCTGGGCTATAACATCTGGCCAATTACCACTTTCTAGCATGTTCGGTATGGCCGGAGCCAGAGCGCAGCGAGCGCTTGCTATGCACCGTCTGTTTCACAACCACGAAACCCCTTTATACACTATGATCGCCGCCGCAATTTGTCGCTGTTAATCTGCATCCTTAATGCTTTGTGTAATGAAGTATAGGGAATTGAATATTCATGTATTCGTTGGTGTTTGATATGATCTCATATGCAATGTCAAATTTAATGAGTGTGCAGTTACTTGCATTACGCTGTGCGCCCGAAATGCATACTTGCAGTAATTGCCATTAATGAGCGCTTTCTTCTGAGGTCATTTTGGGAATAAATAGCCCCGTTGTTTACAAGATTTGTCTTTTGTTTGAGTCATTTTTATTATGGCATTTGTACAAAAGTGTATTTTACGAGATTTCATGCTCACCCCCTGTGATGAAATAGGACATTTATTTGTTATGAACTTAACTGTCCTGTGGTGGTCAACATGTTGTTGGCCAGTCCTAGCCAAATTCGTACAAAGACTTTGAAAACTGATGTTTTGAGGTGACCAAACGAAATTACAAACATTGCATGGATAATGGAAAAGTGCATCAAAATTTAAAAAGTTTATTCACGATGGCAAACGTAGGTCTAATATCAGGGTAGTACAGGGAAGTATGGACGTGTTGACTGCACGATACAGACTTCAGGAAACTTTGATTTATGAACACCTCGACACGAATGAGTGACTGAAACCCGCGGGATCACAGTTAATAAATTCCTATATAATTTTTCAAAACATTCAACATTCAAAGCAAGTCACCTAATTTCTTAGTTCTATTCATCGTGATGCCATTCGCTAACTACTTCTCTTTCAATTTGCGTGGCTTTCGCCTGATTTTGTAGCGATTTAAATTTTTAAGTGGTGGGCAACATTCCAGCACTTGTTCTCAATGCTCATGAAATATTTTAAATGAAATATAAACTGCGAATGTGAAATCATTCCGAAGGTCCTCGAGTTCGCACGACGGTAATAAACCCCTCCAGGGCATTGTTTGGCGTCCAACGGACAGGCCTTGATTGGCGTCAGTCGGACAAATATCTCAGAGAAATGGCGGTATCCCTAACCATGGAGCGAAACCCAACCGATAAAACGCACTTGGGGTGACAGGAGAGCAGTACTGAATATGGACTCAGGAAACAACGTCTGCTAGAAAGGCTATAAAAATGAAATAAACATCCACAAGCATTTGAAGAGAGAATGGCGCGTGCTGTTTGACCCATTTGTTGCTCCTTGAAAGGCAACTTAGGACAAGTACTGGGGGTCGCAAGGGGGAGTGAAGTGCCGTAGCTCTGAGGACGTATGGCAGAACTCAAAGGAGCTAAAGCAAAATAAGGACGCTGAGAGAACAAATTGGGACACCGAGGAAAATTAATTATAAAGTGCAGCATTTAGATTATGTGCTAAGCAGGAATGGAAAATATAGATGATTAATGCCTACACAATAATAACGTGCTGCAAATTAACTGTCATCTTGTTTGTGTCTTTATCAACTAATTATGTGACTACAGGACTAGAGTGGTCTCCAGTCCGGAGTTTTCCAAAGCCCAGTACCATTCCAACGCACCTGAAAATTCCTACCGATGCCACTGATACGAAATGTCTTTTTGTGTCGCTGATGGATACAGAATCGATTCCATATTGTAAAATGTAAAAGGCTATCCCATCCTTTTTAAATTAGTGAAAAATAAAAGGAAATTAATATGAGAACTATGGCAGAGTGACGTCACTTACCGCATAGGCTGTTTTGCTCTTGGCCGATGCAATGCCAAATCCGCCACATATAACCACCTAAGTAGTAATACAAACGCACCCGATGAGAAATAACTTCTTGTATTGTGGCCTCTATGTTGTTTCTTATTAATTCAGGTTCTTGGGGTAAACATTATTTTGGGCTAATAATACTTTTCTAAAATGTATTACTTCCTCTAAAATCTATGCTTGTATATTTAAAAGGAAATACGTGTAGAAAGTCGAATATAGAATATCCAGTTCAGGCAAAGAGTATACAATCTCGGAAAATCCTTTGTAAGGACAATTGAGCGGACCTCTTGATAAATGTTTCGGGAGAAATAAAACAAAGTGACGATAACAATTTTATGCTTTTTGCTCCTGCCTGAATGAGGAGGGAGTTCAATTCATCAGTGAAAGAGTGCACACGAACACTTTCACGGTGTGATCTCAACATGATCCCGCGTGCCACCCTGAACTGTGAAGGTTCACCGAAATTTATTAAGTATTTATAGCAGTAACTGACAAAGCAAATTAAAGTTCATCAATTATTTCAGTTGCATTTTGTGCAACGCAACAGAGTGTGGTTCAAGGCTATGAAGACTGATGTGTAGTTGTGCCGACAATGAGCATCGACAGGGTGCTGGGAATCGATTATTTTTCCAACACCGTTTGCTACTATGCCCCTATTTCGCACAACTCTCAAGCGAATTGCTTGAATTATTTTTCTAATGGTAAAGAAAACAAATGCCCCGACAGACTCCTGGCAGAACGATGTCGCAGTGGGGGTCAAAATGTGATTGAATTTTGGGTGTAATTTTAGGGAATAAAATACAATCCACCGGAGGCTGTGTGGTATTTGCACTGTATATGCTGCTTCAGTGAAGGTGTGAAGAACGGGTCAATATACGCTTAGTATATTGACAGTTATGATGAGATCATGTGAAAAAAAGGGCTGAATATTCTTTGAAAATGACACACTTAAAGGAAGGTTTTCTAATTATTCACACTTCAATAATCTGCTAAATGAAGACCTGTACAATCTTGGCCGACACTAGTCTCGTGTTAATCAGTGTGGATTCGAAGGATGCTAAATAAAGGCTAAATCAAAACCACAATTTTTGCAATGTGTTTTTGGAGCTTCGATAAGATAGGAGGATATACAATTTAAAATTTTATACAGTGAAATGATATTTTGAAAAGGCCCCGATGTCGTGTTGAAATTGCTGATGACTGTTTACTTCACAATACTTGAAATTCTAAGTTTTTGAAAACGTTAATCTTAGAAATGTTCTGATAAAAAACTACGTGCACTTGTAAACAAAGCGTAAATCATCCGTACACAGGCCTATTATTTGTGGTGTAAAATCAGCACTCAGTGAAGTAAACTTACGCAACCACCACTCCAGATGGGAGCCACGGTGTAGGCCAGCCAGATGGGTGACTGACCAAAGAGGACGATGCCCGTTGCGGCGCAGATCCCTCCAAATACGAAGTGGGGGAGGGCCAGCACGACCAGTACGGCCGTGATGACCCGCATGCTGGTGATCTTGTCCTCCTTGGTGGTGGGGACAGACTGGTCCGGGTCACCATTTGCGGCTGTTGGCTCCACCAGGGACGCCCCACGATCGGTGCTAGAGGTGCTTTTTTCGGCTGCTGTTGCTGTCATTCTGGTTCGTTGTGTTCGTTGGTTATGGTCTCGAAAGACGCTCTGCCATAAATACACATGTGAAAGTTAATGTACACCACAAAAAGAGAAATTATCCGCGTTTTCATATACTCGAACGCTGATTCAACTTGACGACTCTGGATGCATGTCTTCACCTGTGCAAGCGCATTTTAGATCGTTATTGCTCCAGTCAGGGACTAATATCTTTTGACGAGTAAGAGGATTTGAGAACAAACCAAAACAGACCATAAGCATCCACCCCCCCCCACCCCTCGAACTTGTATTTTCCACACAAATCTGTTCCAACACAGTCTTTAAGCAAAGTGTTTGATGTACGACACCGCCCGCAGCCTTCGTACTTGGGTGGACTGTTCGTGGCTGGTTTTTCACATACTTTTTTCAATTTCAGAATTTTCGATTCGGAGCCACGGAACATTTTCTGAGCACCATTAAAAAACAACGAAAGAAATCGTTTGCGATGTCTTGATTGAAACTCGCAACTGGGACATGTGATGTGTCCCTCAGGGACCACCATACTTTTCAATTCCTCGTAAACGTAATTGACGAAGACTTATTTAATTTTCCTTCTCGGGGTAGACCCCGTCCTGCTCTGCACAGCATGGGTGGTTAGACAAGCTATTTAATGGTGGTCGTGACTGCAGTGCATTCTGCTGACCATAATCATATCTGCATAGGTAGGCTAACAACGTGTTTGAATTGCAAACAATGCCTAGCAAAATATTAATTATATAATCTGTTTTAATTTATACATAGGTGATTGAGTTTTGAAACGATTTGCTGTTATTTAGAAATTTTTGTGAAGTATATCTCTATTGTAGTATATTCACGTTGGGCTTGTATATCATGCCTGATTTTACGTATTGCAATGTTGACATACTTTGGATAGAAACAGCAGTGTGGGCCTACTCTCCTGCGCGGAGAGTTAAATAATACAATAGCGGGTGATTGATTTCTTTTTCCGATAAAAATGTGTGAATTCCAGAACCTAAACATATCCCAAAACTCTACGCATATCAAACTTCTTTAACAACGACATTGGCCAATTTTCATTAATGAAATAGAAGTAATTATCCGGTCGATAGCAGTAATACACGTTTTTGCGATATCATTACATTTAAATCCTAAAACGCTGGCGTTGTGCATGTGCTTTTTTCAAATGAATGATAACATTTTCAGTGTCCTCAATAGCTACTCACACACATCAACGTGCATGCCACAATCCAATCGAATTACATACGAGCCGACGACATTTCCACAACGCCGCTCTGTTGTCTGCAGATAATTGCTTGGCACCTAATAGCTCTCAAACACACGTGACCCAGCGTCAAATTCGGTCGATAACTGCCTGAGGGCAGCAAAATATTAGGGATGCGAACCAAGCGCGATAAATAGCAGAACCCAAGTTGTTTCCTAAAATAGTAAATAGCTCCTGTCGCTACTACAGTCACTCTCAAACTGTGCTTCCTTTCTGTATTTTTGAAACGCAGAAAAGGGTTATCCGCAATAAAATTGTTCTGCATAGTCGTAAACACATTTCATCTGGGCGAGCATAGTTTCTGAAGGTGTTCTTACGCACGTCCTAAAATACATTGAACATCAGGTGAGGCAACCTCAAATATGGTTGGATCATAATGGAGGAATATCGAAGCTTCACCTTCCGATACATTCCGTATGATTTTGGCCGATTGCTTATTCGCAACCATGTCCATCGAGTGGCGTGTTCAGAGGTGATGGACAGTCATTGGGGGATAAATTTTGCCCCACCCCCAATTGGATACGCCACTGGGCCTATGAAATTTCTACGCGATAGGTTACATGCGTGTAATAATCAGAGGTCTTACAATCATAAGGTTACAGAATGGTGCATATTTTATACTAATTGGAGGACCGTTTAATTAATCATCTGTGGAATCGAATATGTATTTTATTAAATGCAGGGCATCATTATTTGTCAAGCACTCTTAAAAAACATTGGAGAAATTCCATGGATTTAAAATAACTCGCAAGTGTATTTTTGATGGTAGTTAAGGTTGACAGTGTTCCTTTACCTTTTCAATTGCGAGTATACATTATTTCGTCTGGCACTACATCCGTGCATAGGATTTACACTTGTACATATACACGTCAATGGAGTTTTTGTCTAATAGATCCGAACGACTATTACCATTTGCTGTCCGTGGTAGATAGCAAAAGAAAGACACTCGCACTGATCTCAACACACGCGGTATTCGACACGGGATAACAGTTACGGTAATGAAAACCTTCTAGAATAGTCAGTATCATACGAAGTACACCATGGAACCCCCCCCCCCATTTCTTCCTTCTTCGGAGAGTGCAATAACAGAACGACTGATTCTAAAGCGTCATTTGATATCCGTAATCATGGCATTCTAGCAAAAGTATACATACCCACTCGCCTGTCACAAATTCCAGACTGTCCCCTTTTCAATGTTTATAGATTGTCAGATGAGACGATGTGTCATCCATGAGTCCTAGCAGCCCTGCATCCACTCACAATCCTCGCAGTACGTGCCGTTGATGGGCACGGGGATACCGTTGGATGGTCCTCGTGCAATGGTGCTATAGGAAGCGAGATGTGATGCAGGTTACGTTAATACGGAGTTCTACGGAAAAGGTTAGATGTCGCTGGCGAATGTTATCGTAAATTCGGCTCTGTACATAATCATCCGGCGCGCAGCGCTTTCGTGTTCCGCCGATGGGGAAGGAGTAGCTAGTAAGTGAAAGCAATGGCGACGGCGGTTCGGCTGTTTGGTGACGTCGTGGCGCCAGGCCAGCGGGCCTGACGAGTCAGGTTGATTATGATTCAGGTTGCCGACGACTCTTGCAAAAGACGAAATAACCAGAGGGGACCTTTACTGCTGCTCACGGTGATAGTAAAATAATATTTATCTTGCTGATAAATATTGCATCGTTAAATAATATTGGATCGTTTTACTGGTGTACGACCTTAAAAAAAAGAAAAGAGTATCCACTTCGTATATTGAGTTCCCCATATTCAGATTGCCTGTAGTTTTTGATGTAGGCTAGAAATGCCACATAACTTTTACCCATTACTAGAATTCATTTTGACCTTAAAATTATTGGAGAATCCTCAATCTGACCGTGCTCAAGGAAAGAAATAAAGTATTATAAACTTGCATCTTTTGGTATGGATAGGCCTTAGGGAGAACCCCAACAGGAACACTATACTCGCCCGAAGGAATTCACGCAGGTAGTTTCAGCAAAGGGATGAGACCTCCCCAGCGTCACTATGCCATCTTTAAAAACGACGTAAATGACGTAACACAACATTGGACGAAAATTAATTCATACATGAAAAACTCTTCGAGCCATTTTCAGTAACAAGTAAAACCTTGACACGTATTAAATCTAAATCAATGCACGTTTCACCTTAATTTGTGGAACTGTGCAATCTTTATTCTATTCAGACTTTTTCAAATGAATTTTTATAAGTAGTCACTTGCGACTCGCTATGAATGCCATACTGCCGTTAGAGGGCAGCAGATGTGCGTGAACTTCCGTTGACATCTACAAGCGACATACATTTACTTCATTAAGAACAAGCAACGTAACTCAGTGAAATATTCTGTGACCCTTTTCTTGTCAATTGGGAGAAAAATTACATTCTGTACATATTCGGGAGGCAATAGGAAACAGGGTGAAAGGCTCGAAATGTCACTTTTCTCTTTACTTGTGGCAGGTGCTCTAACGTGTTTTTCCATCATTCCGAAATAGTGAACTACGAGTGTCGTTTTTTTTTCAGCTGTCTAGTGTAGTAAGATTTGTTAGCAACTTTATAGTTGTTTGAGGCACTATAAAGGGTGTAAAAAAGGATAGTTTATAAGCTAGCAGCTCTACAATCACGGGTGAATGAGCAACCATGTTTTTCAAGCCTTCTTCCGAGTTGGGCTGATGCTTACCTGCGCTTTTCTTTGCACTCGGGCATTGAATATGCAAATTCAAATAATACACGTTCTTTGCAATTATTATTTATTCTGATTATGCTTAAAGAAGATAAATATTTACATATTCCTTTCAGCAACATCTTTCAAACGTCTACCTTCCCTGTCCACACATTTTTACAGCGAGAATGCATTTCTTGGACAGCTTGTCTCGCCACTAATGGTTTTACTGTGTAAGACGTTGACTTTGTTCAGAAGTGGGCCCGTAACTCGGCAACACCATGTGGACTTGGACTTGAAAAAAAAGGTCCTGGAATGCCCCAAACTAAACTGATTGCAGGGTGTAAGATCAAATGACCTACAAGTGACCATTCAAGTGTAGGATTGAGGGCAATCACTCAATCTTCAAAGTGTTCCCTCTATCGATCTTTGACAATAAGAAGACGGTGAGCTGGGGCACTTTCCTGTTTTCACCACAGACGTCTGAAGACACCACGGCCTCGAGCCGAGACATGATTATCGTACGTACTACTTTATTGAAAAAAGAGCATTTACAAAATTCAAATTAAAAGGTGCAAACCTCTTATTTTATACAGTTCACAGGGTTGGAGTATTCACACGTAGAATGCTCTTGTGCAAGTTATTTTGTTGCCCCATTTTACTACAGAACGTCATAAAAACATCTCAAATCAGCAAAGCAAAGAAAGAACTTTTTATCACAGGTTACATGCTTCAGTTAAGTTGACACAAAGTGCAACTGTCAGTTCCACAAAGGTAGTAGTTCATTTTGTGTAGCACATAAACATTTGGAATTCACTTATAAAAATAGCGCAATGTAACACCTGTTCCACCATGAATCATGCTTTCCCCATAAGGGTCACACTTTGCTAAAACGAGTACATTCTCGATGTGCCGAGACCATTTTAACCAGCCATCTCGTAGCGCACTCTCTGCCATTTCCAAATGTTTAAAGCTCTTCTGCCTTCAATCAAACAAAATGCTTGCATCTCATGATATCTGCTTGATGCTACGAGGCACAGTGGCGACACTACTCCGACATGAAGCTCAAGCACAAGAAACACCCTTCAACTCTTGATTTCCGAGTCCTCACACAAGTCGGTTTTTCATGGCCAGTTATGTTTTCTTCTCATCTTCCGTGGGGACAAAACCTTCTTTCTGAACCACATCCTTGTACTTCAAAAAGTCTCTCCTCCGGAGAAAATATTTGACCTGAGAAATGAAAATGAAAGAGAAGGAATAGACATTTACTGCTCACTGAACTGGAACACATAAGTTTTTGAGAGAAAAAAAATGAGATTCTGTAACAATGTGATTGGGTTTTTAATTTAAACTAAACTGCATTCTACATTAGTCTGCCTTTACCTACAAACCAATATTTCCCGAAGTGCCAACAGAGGTCGGGCCTGCCATGTCGTTAACATTTTCACTTATGAGATCTGAATGAGGTATTTCAGTTGGAGGCCTGCATCACAGATATTGGTGCGTAGATGCTTCCTAACAAGTTGAAACTCAATCACAGCAAATCAGAGCTTCTACTTATTGCATCTAAATCACAGCAGGGTCTTATCTGGAACCAGATTGTTACCATTGGTTCAGATTGCATCGCTGCAGCATCCACTGTTTGAAACTTTGGAGTAGTTTTTGATGAGGATTTCTCCACGGATGCCCATATTCGGAAGATATGCCAGTCTGTTTATTTTAACATTTGTTACGTAAACAGCATACGGGAAACACTTGATGACGCATCTGCATCCAAGCTCATTCATGCCTTTGTTCTTTCTCGGCTGGATATTTGTAATTCTCTACTGATCAACATTACATCTTATCAGTTTGGCAAACTCCAGCTCTAAATACAGCTGCCCGAGTCTTATCCAATCAAATAAATTTGACCACATCATGCCAGTTCTGCAACATCTAAATTGGTTGTCTGTCCGAGAGCAGGTTGAATTCAAAATTTTCTTGTTACACTAGAGAATTGTTCATGGATTAGTGCCGAGTTATCTAAGTGGCCTCATTACACCCTATGCACCACATCACAACTTGCACTCTGCTTGAGATTCCAAGAACACTGACTGCCTTTGGAAGTACTGTAGGGCTTTTCAATCTGCTGCACCAGTACTGTGAACAACCTTCCAAATGATCTCAGAACACTGGTCTCCCTGGAAACATTTAAATCAAACTTGAAAACTCTTCTGTTCAAGCGTTCTTATTTTGGTAGTTCACAAGTGACATCAACCTGATTTTACATTCTTTTCTAGCGCCTCGGATTGGTCTTCTAGATAGAGGGCGCTTTAAAGGGGTTTGTTTATTATTATTATTGTTATTATTAAGAGCACATATGCTAACACACACACTGCAAGCCCCCTCCTATATCATTGATTTGGCTCTGCCCACTCACCCACGTCTTCGAGCAGTGTTCATCAAAGGCCTGCCTCTTCTGAGTACATTTCTTCTCGTCTTCATTGCTGTTGTCAAGGCACTTGAAATAGTCATCTCTAGCAGCCCAGCACAGCTTCCGACTCTCAGCATTTGGAAATGAAGGCTTGTCCGACTCTGACATTTTGATTTGAAGTCCCTGATGAAAAAGTAAGCAAGTGCAAGGTCCTGGTTGTATATGTTTATGTAACAGGTTTTGCCCTTACCCAACGTATATATTGATAAACACTCTATGCTCAGTGCTTGTCTGAGAGCTTGCAAAAATTCACAAGCTTACTCGGGTGGGACTCAAACCCACAAACTCCTGCTTACTAGTGTAGACGTCTTAACCACTCAACTGACGAGCTTACCGGGGTCAGCTGGCCGGTCCGAGTCAGGTGAAGCGGTGGGTACCGCAAACTACATCTATTTTCAAGATGTATTAACTATATTCGTGGTAGATTCAATACATCTTGAAATAGTTTGCGGTACCTGCGGCTTCACCTGACTCGGATCGGCCAGCTGACCCTGGCAAGCTCGGTGGTCGAGTGGTTCAAGTTCCACCCGAGTAAGCTTGTGACTTTTTTGCAAGCTCTCAGACAAGCACTGAGCATACAGTGTTTATCCCTAAATATATACGTTGGGTAAGGGCAAAACCCGTTATATAAATTAACATCGCCCCAACGCAACAACCAAAAAAAAATACATCTTGAAAATTGTACTATATGGTTCAACTGAGGAGAACATTATCACTGAGTGACACTGTGCTGGCCCTAGCATGCCTAGACTGATGCAAAAATGTTTGAGGGAGCGCCGTGGACGCGACGTAAGGCCTACGTCGAACCATGGAGGTAGAATCGAACCCCCCAGTGGATTGCGTGTGTGCCGGGCAATGGTCAGATGGTACAAACCTGCTATTTCTTATCGTGTCCTTAAGTCAAGTAATGGAACTCTTTCCCGAGTTAGTTGTAACTTAATATAAAAGCGCTTCTTCTCTAATCATAACCTCATCAACGATGGCAAAAGCATGGAGTTAGCCTCCATGGCAAAACTTACACAACATCACACCCCATGTACAGTACATGTACACTGTGCATGTGTACGATCACACAGTGCAATCGCACCACATAGCCAGCACTCGGCAGAGCTAGTGGCCAGTTTCTATAGTCGCACGTGTTATTTCCAGCCGCAGCCATAACGTTTGGACACGACCTTTGTACAAAATGTAACCCGGAACTTATAGGCTTTCGCAGAGCTCGCTGGGATGTCTGTGACATGCGCGTACACAAGTACATACAAAACATTGCAAAATGGTGGTAGGCAGTGCAAGCGGTGACCGGTGATGGTTGAACTTGAAGTCGGACAAGCATGCATTCAAAGAATTTCCTGATGAGCTGCCATAGGCAGAAAATCAAACTTACTGTGGACAAAGCTTCCGTTTGTTCGGAAATGTAGTAGAGACGGACATCAAGATTTAGGTCTGTGCAAGAAAGAAATATCCACGAATATGTCTACGTCTGCAGCGGGAGGCGTTGTAGATTCTGCTGGCAGCAGAAACCAGCACACTGATCTTAGTCGCGCCGAGACCGGCGGGTGTTCAGCGTCGCAAGTGCCAGGGAAACTAACGGTGATGAATGGTCCAGAAGGAGAAACCATAGAGGGAGAGAAGAGTGGGCAACACCTGTTTGTTCAAGGCAACAGTTCCCATCGAACGGACTGTAGCGAGAATTGCATCAGGCCTACCCATGTCGCTTGTCACGCTAGTGATCCCAAACAGAATCAGTGTCAACTTAGGCCTAATCAGAATGAATGTGTTATGGAGTTCGAGTCCAAAGAAAAGCCTTTGTCAAACGAATGTTTGGGCAAAGGAACTACATTTGCTAGTGCCAAATTCTGCTCCTGTAGTGAGCCATGTGACAATGATAATGGTATGAATGAGAAGCATCATTTAGGTTCATCTGGTGTTCAAGTTCCTGATAACACAAAACATGCCTCATCAGAAAAGATATTGATGCTTAAGACAATCGTGTCACAAGAGGGGGGAGTTGCCGCTGATTGCAGACTTACAAATGGTTGTTGTGACTGTCATTTGAATGAAGCAGTGCTTAAAACAGAGGAGCATGGAAAGGTTAATTATGCCTGTAGAAATGAGGAAAAATCAGGAACGCTTAAAAACCCTAACTCCCCGTGCCAGTCTGACGATGACCAAGGAGACCCAAGTTGCAACTGCACTGGCAAGAATATGAGCAAACCTTTATCTGATCTCACTAAAATGGTCGAGAACATATGCCTGGAAAGTGATGGCACTGAGGAGACTGTCCCCTCTTTATCATTGGATGGCCGCAAGCAGGGCCCTACTACTGCTCAGGCATGTCAGGAGCCCCTGCCTTGTTCTGAACAGGCTACAGCCAGCGGAGACTTGCTAACAGAGATGGATCAATCCTTCAGTGCCCTTGGACCAGCAGGCGGGGATCTTGATGATGCAGAGTTAGAGGAGTTTCCCTCCTCCCTCTCGGACTTCGTTCTCAGTTGTCATAGCAACCGGTATACAGTGCCTCCCTGCCCCGCCAACGACAGCGATATAAACACCATACACATTCATTCTGGTTCCAGAAGTCACCCAGTCACCCTTGTGCCATACAAGTCAGAACTCCAGATGCCAGACATCATGAGACTCATTACAAAAGATTTGTCAGAGCCATACTCAATTTACACGTATCGTTACTTTATTCATAACTGGCCACAGCTATGTTTCTTGGTAAGTATCCATAACAATTCATCCAGGAATGTTTTTCTGGGTCAGTGATGCAACATTCTTTCTATTGTCTTTTTCTACTGACCATCAGACATCGACATCTAACTCTAAGAGTGGTGATTAGGTCTGAGAGTTAGATTTTAACTAAAGTGACCAAATCTTAGACCATACATTCTTATCTCAATCTAAATTTCTCATCTAAATTTAAAGTTCTTATTTAACCTAAAATCTTAGAGTTAGATCTTGACACAATTAAGTCAATTTGTTTGCTCAATTTCTTGCCCACTTAAGGATTTTGCTCTGGCAACATGGGAAAATAATAGTTTGGAACATCTTACTTAGATGCATTTTCATTAAAGTGGAGAAAGCTATGGACTAACAGGAGATGCCAAATTTAATGGAGGACATCTATCAAGTCTTTACAAAATGTTCACATTTTTTATCCCCATGACTTTGATGCGTTTGTTTTCAGGTTGGCACTCCAAAACGAAATTTTGCAGTTGAATTTGTAAAATTTTACAAATCAGCAATTCAAATTTTCAATTTTCAAAGCAATTAAATCCTAAGTACAATGCATTAAAAATCTACCGGGATATGTAATAGAAATAGTTATTTGCTTTCACAACTGTCACATGAATTCATAGTCATACATTATTGAAACACTTGATGGGGAATGCATGCTTGTAGTAGACAAGGGAAATGAACAGTATAATAATGAATTCTTCTATCCATGGGAAGCCAAAAGAACTTCTATTTCCTACTACAGAATACAAATTAGGGTAGGTAAGCGCAGGAATTCATTTTTTACTCGAAATATTTTAGCCAAAACACTAGGGCACAATGACAGTTATAATTTGTTGGTACTCAACACAAGCCAGACAGCATTCCATGTGTTCACATGTACAAAATGTTACCTGCATATACATGTAGGTCTATTTCTAAAGCATGTGTACAGGTACATGTGAAGTGGAGAGGTTTACTTTATAATATATTATAACTTTATGTAATAGGATTACAGATGTGTGCTATTTATTAATCATCTTTGTGAAATCTTCATTGGCTGCAGTGTGCTAAGGATTTAACATTTGCTGCTGATATCTGTGTTTGTTTTCCCATGGCATTCATAACCAACAAGTATTACTACATGTACATGGTACATTACTAGTTATTACACAAGTGTGAGTGGAACTCAGAATAATGTAATGCGTCTGTGTCCCGTATACCGTGAGGCCGAAAGTCGAGTGGTAGACAGGACACGGACGCAGTACGTCATTCCATGTTCCACAAGCGCGATAATGAATTTGTCTTCGAGCAAACTTGACACACAGTAAAGATGTTATACGAGCCTATGCTTAAAAACGCATTGCCACCTTTCAATTTTCTTTGCAGCTGTGCATTTTGCTTTTAGTGTAAAATAGCGCAATGTGCAAAATTAGAATAACTCATTATGCGGGGTTGGATATGGTCTGTGTAACACAGTTATATTTCACACTGCTTGTTGCTATGGATCAACCAATCAGAATTCAATGAGAATTCACGTTTGCTTGAAGATAATGTGCAGTACTGTGACTTGTTGAACCGTATGAAAAAAATGATCAGTGTCACTCTCAGAGATACTTGTATGTGTAGAGTTACATTTAAAGTGTGGATTTTTGTTGGGTGGTTGTTGGTTACCACACAATCATGGAAGCTTGCTTTGTTGGCATGTCCAATCACCAGTTGGCTCAGTTCTTAGTAGCTGCTCATTTTTAACAGTGATAGAGATATTTGCTGGGCTTCTAAACCAACTTTCAAGAAAAGACAGGTTTCAAAGTGAAAGCCGTTATGGAAACAGTTTTTTGAAATGAGGTTTTTTGGCTGCTAAGCAAGGCAAATCTTAAAAGTGTTAAACTGGATGGAACATAGCTTATTTGAATCACTCATTTACAAGGAATGCATTCATGCTAAGTTTGCGAGTGTTGATATCTCTCCTTTCAAGGAATTATAAAGTATTCAATGACTCAAGTGATTCAATACAAATTGGAACTTTAGTGATGTGAACTAAGAATGTATAGCTATTTGAAGTTGTATCAGGAAAAACAAAACAGAAAACAACCACAGATATTAATGACACAAGATTTTCTCAGTAACTTAAGAGTTTTCTTTCTTCTTTATTTTCTCCATGATTTTGAATTCTTATCTCAAGCAACTGGGTGGATGTAGCCCAATGTCTGTTTGTTCACACAATTCTGAAATATTATCCTGTATGTCTCCCCCCGTGCCTTTTTTTGCTGACACATGTCGAATGATTAATGAAAGTGTCAGTCGCGTGCTATCATTCACTGAATCATATCAGATTACTCTATGAAATGTTCTCTCATCCTACCCAACACTTCCCCCCCCCCCATTTGCCCAGGCTATGCACCAAGACAAGTGCGTGGGTGCGATAGTGTGCAAGCTGGATATCCACAAGAAGATGGCTCGGCGGGGCTACATAGCCATGCTGGCCGTGGACGAGAACTACAGGAAGCTTCAAATTGGTGAGGGTTCTTCCAGGGGCAATTGGATCCATCAACAGTGTCTGGTGCAATCAGAGTTCAAGTCAGGGCACATTTAGGAACTCCCCGCAGATGACCAAGCATGGACTGTTGCCTCCCGTCTCGCTTTATTTAATCGTCCATCCTATCAAAGTCTGTCCTATCAGACGTTCAAATTGAAATGTCTCCCATTAGGTTTACATTTTCCCCATGACAGTTTCTGTTGCACCCGCATTAGTTATGGATATTGCTCCAGTTATTTTTGTGTCTGAAAATGTAGATTATATTATTTTTTTATTGACTACCAATGAACTGTTTATGCAGGTTTCATCTTGAACAGCTTTAAGTACCAGCACAGTCACATGCTGCAGCAACTTCATGAATGTACACCGTGATATTATTTCATCAAACAAGTCATTATAATGCAAGTAACTTCAGTCTGAGTTGTGTATTCTATTTAACAGGCTCGAGTCTGGTGAAGAAGGCCATCCGTGCTATGGTCAGGGGAGAGTGCGATGAGGTAAAAAGTGAACTTGTTAACAACCTAAAGTCCCAAGACACTTTTGCCAAGAAACTCCCTGGGTCCTTCCAAATCTAATAATGCACCAAACCAAATGCCACAGTGTTTATGTTTTCATGGGATTTTTTATCTTTCTCAATCCTTCAAAACTTGGCTTCACCCTTCAGATTGTTACAGGATCTATGAGAGTTAGGGTTGACAGACACTCAAGCAGGCTGTCAAGTCACCAGTGCTTGTTGAGATAGCTGTGCAGATGTACAGTTGAGAAGTGCACAGTTGTCAGAGTTGGGTTCCCAATATGGCAGGGCTTTGCATGTCTCGAGGGATGGAGTTCTTGTAGAAATATCCAGTACGCGTGCAGTGCGCTAATTTTAACAGAGATGTTTTCGCTCGTTCTGAGATTTGGTGGTGGCAACAGGCCCCATGGAGGAAGTGCCTGATTTCCCGGAGGGTGGAAACTGAATCATGAGGCGAACATGATCCTCAAAATCATGTCTAGGCATTCCCGCAAAGTACATTCATTGGTTGGAAATTAGAATGCGATCGGATGCCTTGGAGGGATAAACACACAAAGGCTCAACCTCCCGGAGTTAGTTAATTTGGAACATGAGGGCCTGCTTGCAAACCAGAACCCCTTTCTTGTGGGACTTGTATGACACAGTGAGACACTTTCTGATTGGGGGAGGAGAGAAGAACAAGCACGTTTTGGATTTCCTTGTTTCAGTCAAGACCCTAAAATGCATAGAGCATGAAAGCCATTACCGAAGAAGGGTTTTTTTCCATCCTGTTCTAAATATACATGTAGGAATAAGCCTCCAATGTTGTTCATGTAACAATACAAACATTTCAGTTTTTTTTACAAAAGCTAAAACAAAAAGTAAACAAATGAGCTGCGTTTGTCACCATGATAAATACACCTGTAGCCCTCTTTCAATCTCTTTATTTCACACGTGGTTCTTGTAGAGGAACTTAAATTGTTCTTACTGCGCATCCAATTACCCATTTCAATATCATTTCTAATAGATTATCCAATACTTCTCTCCCAATCCAAGGTTGTTCTGGAGACGGAGATCACCAACAAGCCAGCTCTGAGACTGTACGAGAACCTTGGCTTCCTCAGGGACAAGAGACTCTTCCGCTACTATCTCAACGGTGTGGATGCTCTGCGGCTCAAGCTCTGGCTACGGTAAAACACAGAGGGCACAGAAAACTGCAGGACAGGTGACCGTTGCATTGGCATGTGTATCGTTGCTGACACACACTACAAACTGACACTCACGCAAACTTTACAGAACCACATCAGTTCGGTTGACATGTCCTGTATCTGTGTACTGTGTGCACACACTCAAATGTATTTTTGTTTTCCTGATGGAAAACTTTTAATATCTTCAATTACATGTAAAAGGTTTTGGATGAAAATGTTTTGCACTCTCAAGTTGATGAAGTAGATTCGTTTCCAAACCCTTGTGAAGCACTTTGCTTCAAAAGCTATATACGCAACATGCGTTTGGTTCAGTTGGTGCCAACCAAAATTATTCCCATCATGCATCAGTGTATACAGCCACCGGTAGACAGGAAAGCATAAAATAAAAAAGATGATTCATTACACAGTTTCAACAGAGTGTTTGTGCATAGTGCTTGTGTTGCAGTTCATGGTAACCTTGACTCTACCTGAGTTGGGTACAAGTGCCACGTGTTCTTATTTCAAGAGCTTTAGTGAGGTGATCAACATCAGAGCCTCCACTTTTGTGGAAGGTAGAATCAATGCCTCCTCTACGGGCCCTAACAATAAGGACCCTTTTCAAACCCTTGGTACCATCTCTCTCCGTTACTGCTCTCTCCCAAAAAAACAACATGCCTGTTTAATACGTACTAAAATAATTTTTTTTTAGGAGAATTCAGAATTAAGTTTGTCCATCTGCATGAAGAAACAGCATGAGACCCTAATAGTTTCTTTTCCAGGGAAATCCAAAAGCATGTGAGTCTATGCCTATTCTACCAGCGTCCATCTGAAACTAAAAAAAAGAAAAGAATTTAAAGAAAACTAAATAACTGTGCGTGTGAGGACAACAAACTCCATTAGCTATTTATTGTTCAAGTTTATATTAACTTCGAGAGTTTGATACTGAAAATCCAGCTTTTACGTTGAAACATCCAGCTAGATCTACAGGGATTTGGCACTGTGCAGTTTCACAAAAAGCCTTATCGTCAGACTTCTGTGTGTGGAATTTGCTATAGGTCTTTGTTCTCCATTACTGAAAACACTCAGTGTAACAATGGGGCTCCATCTAAATCTCTTGTCTAGGGCTAGGTCTAGGTCTAGGCCCATTGGGAGTATACAAGGACATGCTGATAACAGACGTAGCCGTAGCCTCGGAATCCTGTTTCAGACACAGCATAAGCATGAGATGCACTGATATACAACATAAATGTATAACAATGACAATAATACTGATTGTACTTGAGCACAAGGTGCTTCAAAGTCCCTGATCTTTTGGTCCTTTAATCCCAACCAGGTTTTGTAGTTTTCTTGAGAGGGTAATCAATGTACTCTTCTGGCTGCGAGTTGTTTTTATCATGCTGCATATCGATACTGCAGTGCCCTATTAGGCGTTGCATTTTAACGCAGATGGTTGCATCTCTTAAAGTTTGTTAAGATATACGAAGCAGCCATTGTGTTCTCTCACATAAAAGAGCAGTCATGGCAAACTGTCTCGCTCAGGAACATAAGCAGCATGATGACCTTCATGACCCTGGAAACAAGACCATGAACTCATCACAAAGGCTGCGAGATGAAACCATGATCAAATGAGTTTAAATTTATGGCTCTCGTACAAAGATATCCCTAATTGACTGATATACTTGAGTGGAAATTAAAATTATCAGACTGCAACTTGAAAAGATTTCCAAATTAAGGACAAGTGGTTTGAATAAGAAAGAGCACACTGAGAAGAAAAGTACGGTGTTTTTTTCACAGAGTATACAATGTAGACCCACATTATCATCCAAAGACTATAGGTTTTTTTGGTGATTCTTTTCTTCAGTGGAGAACCACTGAACCACCAATGACTCTTCCATCTTTTTTATGCATCTTCGATTTTCTGGTCTTCAGAATACTTGCACAGTGATGATGTGAAGTTGCATTAAAAATACCGACTGCACTTTTGCATGATGCATAGTTTTAATTTCAAGAGTTCTCAAGACAACTATACCACAGCACAACTTTAAGAAGTTTTCAAATTCTTAAAGAAACTAGTGTACACGCTAACAAAAATTGTGGCATGCAATATTCCTTTGGGAGATTTAAAAAATTGGCCAGAAGCACTATACATTGTAAAGTGCGATGAAATTATTTCTTAAATTTCTTACATTTTAACACATTTTTGAGATAATTATTTAGAGTGAAGTATACTTGCACAATTTTTTTTAAAACCAGACCCTGTCCATTGCCAGTGACTTCTTTATGGAGTGCGATCCAATGAAAAGTGAGACTGGTTCACTGAAATCGAAATTGAAGTCGCGGATGAACATTTGTAACATCCATTAATACGATTTTGAGAAACCGTCTGCATACTGTCATTTCATTGGATGTGCTGCCTCATGACTTCCATTTTGCTGCTTCGTCAGGGGCATATTTACACCAAGGTTTTGGATCAGTGTACGGATTGGTAGAGCTTATTTCTTTGCGGGATATTCAAGTTTTGATTTTTAATTTGACATACATGTAGATGTCTCCTAAAGCATGGGGTAGTGAGATAAGGTTGGAATTATAAACAGGGAAATATTGTGGTCAAACTTTGTTGACTGCATTTACTGAATGATATACTATTATCCAGAAAATTGTCTGAGGATTTTTTGTGTGTAAAATTCGTTCAGTGAATGTGATGTGGCTTCTGGAACTTGAAAATTCTTGTATTTTTGAGCCAGAGGTTACATTGCTTCAGGCTTTCCTCGCGCTGATGTGTGTATTTTTGTGTGCATGGCAAATATTAGTGTGGCTCATTTGATCAATTGCAAATGGTGCTAAAGTTTGCGAGCATTTGCTCGTGAAATTAATAATCTCCTTTAATACACTTTTATAAAAATGTACAAGCCGCGCATTTTTTCATGTATGAATTCCAAATGCTGTCGAAAGTGCGCAGCTTGGTACGTGGGAAGGAACTCGCTCTTCAGTTGAGATGCAATTTCTATTTCTGATGGCATCTAGTCAGTAGTTGTAACACGGTAAACACTATTTTCTGGAAATATTTTTTTATTTTTTATCCAACTTAAAATGAAATGGAAACAAAGTGCTGTGATTCCTTGTGGGATTTTACTAAGCCTTCTTGTTCCGGGGTGTTGCGTGCATTTAATCTGATTCATCTCTATGCTTGTTATGTGTACCTCTGAATCTAATGAATAAGTTGAAGAGGACGACAAATATGGAACAGGATATTTGCATGAAAACTGACTATTTGTACATTTTAATACACTTCCATGCACCCGCCGTGTAAATGGTTTGATTGAGAACGTGAGATTCTTTTAAACACCACCCACTGTTGACTAAACCGAAGTTAACAGAGGGGAGGAAAAACCCTTACGGCTTGAGTGTGCAAGCAGGATCGTATACAAAACTGTGTAAATTATTTGTACATGTACAATGATGGTTTCAGGATCACTTGAAGAAACCTTCGCATTCGCTGTATAAAGCACGTGATTTTGTCTTATTTATTTTGAGAAACAAAATAACACTGATTTCCCCTTTGTTGTCTGTAACGGTATACCGCAGTGTACTACTGTGAATTAAACTGTAAATTATGTGTTAAAGTACATAGTAGCATGATTTGTGTACATAATGTGAAATCCTATAGGGAAGGCCACTTACCCTGTTCTGTAACGATGCTTGAGGCTTTTCTATAAAAGGTATTAACTTATTACATGAAACTGAATGTTGGAATGATAAATCAGTCCTTTGGTGTACAAACACACCGTCAAATGGATTCTCATTCGGGTTTTTTAGCCCTGAATCGGCGACGTTGCTCGCGCAATACTGTTGAGTTCTAAGACCTAAATTGTGTAAGCGTGAACGTATGCACAGTGTTTTAATACTTGTAGCTGCTGTAGAAATAAACACGAAGTTGTTGGGAAAATCCTTGCTTGTTTTTACTCACTTTGTGTCGAGGAAATGCACGTGTGTGAAGTAAATTTCTTGTGTCGTTTCTTGGGAAGACAGATGCGAGATTTCAAGCCAAGTTTTGGCGTCCTTATTCTTCAAAGACAAACTTTAGTGTATTAAATTAAAGTGACTTTTGCGTTTCCAGTAGACTGTAGTCTGCTTTTCGGAAATTTAGCTTCAGCATAGTGTTGATTTCTAATCAAATTGGCCCATATGTTGATATTAATACCTTGGCTATAACTCTTTTTAGATCTTTACTTGTAGCCACTACTTGTAACATCTCTCGCCTTATTCTTTGTATGAATAATAAATTTGTTGATTGGACTAGTTGGACTTTGCCGATGAGTCGCGACGGTTTGATGGATGGATAGATAGACGTACATGATTGTAGAACACGCGACCGTACTGGTTGTCGAGAGTGAAATATTAATTACAAAAGTATTGGCTTGGTAAAAAATGTCCTGGGGTTGAAAAACATAATCCCCCCAACATTTTGATCGGCGGTTTCCATGTTTCCTATTCCAACCCATCTGAGAATTCCTCAGAGAGCGCGTATGGGAGGCATACATGTTGGTCAATTGGGCTAAATGTACGAAGCGGCCATCTTGGAGGTACACGCTTTCGCTCCGTGCCGTCACACGGACGAAGAGACTTTCATAATTTTATTGATTAAAGCAACACGATTATACCACCCAAAGATGGGGGCTTCTATTATATGGCAAGATTTACTATCTCAAAATCTAGACCAAACTTTCACGAAATTCGTGGTCCCTTCCGACCAGGTCCAATGATATATAAGTTGTGGTTTTCATCCTCTTCCGTATGTTTTCATTTCTTTGCCCTTTTCTTGTCTTTAATTCGGGGGTGGCGGAGGCACACTATGTCCCCCATGACTGTATAGTGAAAAGCGCCAACAAGGAAACGACATGTTGCTTACAGGATGTGACTGTTGTCAACGATTGCTATTGCAGGCCTATATGCTGAGAATAAAGACGCATCGTATTAATTTTTTTTTGGGGGGGGTGAATTCTGTGCCAAAGTGCATAGAATTGTTGCGGAAACGAGATAAAAACCTAGTGTTCAGAACATTTTGTGCAACTCATTTAGTTGAGCATGTCAGTAGTCAACCAAATCAAAGCTGTAATAGTATTTGGACATGACTCACAAGGAAAACAAAAACTGTCACTATAAAGAATATTTAGGGATGCAACTGTATTACTTAAAAATTCATTTTGTCACATTAGCTCATGGTTGTAATATCGGCTAACTTGATGAAAATTACATACATTTTAAATAGGCTACCGTTTATTCATAAAGCAAAGTATAACTTTCCAATATTCTGTCGTTTCCCATGCTGATTCTCTATTTATAACCAAACGTGATGTCATTTTAGGAAGATACTTCCTTGTAAAAACCAATTAGTTTGTTTTACTCGCTAACATTTCTTTTCTTAAGTTATTGAGTTTGGGGGCTTTTTACACGCTTTTGAAAAGAAGGAAAAGGAAGACACCCCCTCTCTCATTATTGTAAACATGTAATTTTGCTCTTTTATGGGGGAGGGGGCTGTCACCCGTCTGCCCCCCCTGCGGATCCGCCCTTTTCAACGAATGCAAAGCACTTCAAACAATAAAAGCTAGCAACATATTCTTATTAATACAAAAGGTCAGCCACAAACTACATTTAAAATCAAAATGAAATTATCGCCATTACTTTTTCTAAGTTATTCTCGAACCAAACCATTTCACTGGATGTGATCATCCCTGAACCACTTACTGTTGTGTCAGAACTACATGTATTAATTCATTATTGCAGAAAGAAGTCGATCCGTTGCTTGGTAAAATAACACGAAAGCACAGACACGTATATGAGTGTTAGTACCCCGCGGCACTATATGAGCCACGACTGCTGCGGTCTTTCCAATTCCTACAGCTTAATTAATTCGAGGCTTTGTCTCTGAAGTCGAAACCGCTTGAAGACCTGTCATGCTCGAATGGAGTAAATGATGTTCCGGTGTTTGAATGTGACTTTGTACTGAGCTACCAAATTTACAAGTCAGGTGAAGCCAGCGACTGAGACGAAGCCAAGAAATGAACATTCACAAAACATAAACCATCAAAAAGTCTTGAAGCCGTCTGGCGCCCTCTCTAACATCTCTAAACTACATGTAATTAAAAAGTGAGAAACTAATTCTCAAAAAGAGCGAGTGCGTTATAAAACCACTCCAAAAGAGTAAAAGCCACACTGGAAAAAGTAAACACCACTCTTAAAAGAGTGAAAACCACTCCAAAAGAGTGGCATTTTCACTCTTCCAAGGAGATAAACAAGGGACAACTCCAGGGATGGGGGTGGTGGGCGTATTGAAGGAATGCCCTGCTAAAGGGGGTCCGAAAGCATTATGCACATTCCCTGTTAAAAATAAAACTTAACTATAGATGGACGGTGCAATCCTCGTCCAGGATTTTTTTCTTGGGGCGGGTACTCATTTTCATCATTTCACTGGTTGTTCCATGTTGTCCACGGCTGAATGGAGGGTTGCGACCCCCCCCGGCCCCCCTGTAGATCCGCCTCTGAACTCTATATAAAGGGACAACTCGCAAAAAAGCTCATGTCCTTTAAATGTCTCCTTTTTTGAGTGATTGTCCCTTTCTGCAGTGGTTTTCACTCTTTAAAGTGTAAATCTTTTTGAGTAGATTTATGAAGGACTAACTGTTTTTAGTGTGGGTTTATCACTCTTCTGCCTTTAGAGCTAGCAGTTATTTGAAAAACATCCAGTTGGCCTAACCAGCATAATAGTCCCAACCAGTCGAGCTTCAACTCGACGTCAATCAGTCTTGTTTTGTATCCAGATCCTCTAAACCGTCAAAAATAGATAATGCTTTTGACCCGGCAGAGTGTCCAGCTTTGGATGTGGGGGGCAAGTTGTTGCTTTTATTTGCTGGTGTTGTTTTCTGAGAGATTTGGTGCAAATGTAATATTTGATAAACGAATATACCGATTACTTTCTCTCCTACTCACCAATGAAGTATTTTTCGTGCAAAACAAGTTACCCCCTATACCCCCCTGGATACACCAATGCATTGTCCAGCTTCCGTCCAGAGTTGCCAACACCGTGTGTAAGATTTATTTTGAGTGTGAGGGTTGACGCAGGGGTACCTCTGAAAGCCCGTGTACATGTCAGACACGGCATTTAGTCTTACTCACACAGGACACACGTGATAAAAAGTCAATTCCATTTTGTAACCGAAACGAACTTACAGACGGAAGAATAAAAAAATTCCATGGTTGGGATAGGCCATAGGAAACCTGATTAATGAAGTACTGTTTGAATCTTTATTTTCCCTCTTGACTGAGAGGTTTGAAGTGAGCGCGAGGGAGTGAGAATAGTTCATACCCAATGCCAGAGTTGGCAGCCCTAGTTCTTAAAACTTTTTTTTTTTAATGATGGATGGATCTGAAGTCGATGACGAAGACGACCAGCTAGGTCTATCCTGATTTGAAGAGCAGTATGGCAACATTGCCCATGTAGAAATAGATGAAGTTTTTGGTTTCGTGCGTGACGTAGCTCCCGAAATTCTTTCCCACAATGCAGTGCCAGGTGGAGTTGTATTTCCGGTCGAACTCCTTCTTGACGAAAGCGGCGATGTCCTTTTCGATGTTGAACCTTCCCATGGCTTGTTCAGTGCAGGCAATCGCGTCCGACTGCATGTCCTCGGGCATGTCTACATTTTTGATCATGGCCTTTTTCTCCGTTGCTGATTTGGACGAGATTCCGTACATGGCGGTCCTGTGTTTCACTGAGAAAGAGTAAAGCACATCTAAAATTGTGTTACTACGTACGGTGCTCCACGCGTGCAATCTATTTATTTATACTGCGATACGGAGCTCTGGAAGTGCCATCCGACTTGTTGAGGTCCTGAAATGTCTTTCTCGGGACGACGACATAATAAAGGCAAGATGTCGACATCCTGAGATAATTTATCACGGGATGACAATGTCATAAACGTTGGATGACGACATCCTCAGGTAATTTATCATGGGACGAAGACATCCTAAAGGGGAATAACGACATCCTGAGATAACTTATCATGGGATGATGACATCGTGAAAGTTGGACGATGACATCCTTAAATGATGACGATAATCATTATGTCAGGATGTTATCATCCAGAGACACCCACCAAATGTGATGTCTACTTAACAACTTGTAACAGGCGGTGAGACATCATTTAAAGAATATCAGGTATCATGAGAGTATCGTCCCAGAGCTCTGTATGACATGATAATATGTCGCAGTATATAAATAAGTAGATGGCACTCATGGAGAGCCGTAGCTTTTCGTTAGGGGGTATAGGGGTGCAAACCACTGTTACAAATTCAAGTGAGAATTTCTGGCCAGCTCATTAGCATTAAAAGTGCCTCCCCGACAGTATCTTTTGAAAAGGGAGATTGTTTGACCCCCTAATGGTGAGATTGTGTAAATCGTTGGCGGGATCAACTCCCTGGGTCTTTGAGCTTTCCAATGAGAGCAGAATGGCTAAAAACTGTGGTTGAAAAATGGTCCTAAGAGCCCGAGAAAGTTGAGGGTTGCCACTTGAAAAATGGCTGCAATCAGAATTCGGAAAAATCACTTTTTCGGGGGTGATTTTGTTTTGTGGGAATAATTAAAAATGTAATTGGTTAACCCGCAAAAAGATGAAAAGAAATTGAAAGATTAGGCCTAGTGACCAGACAGAATTGCATTTGTGTTTCAGAAATCTCAGGGATGTTTGCATGCATGTTATTGGGACCTGAACAGTGCTGATTTTACATTGTTTTCAGTGGGGCTTGAATTAGTGGACTGTACCAATAGGTTATTTCTTTACGCTCAGCGGTCAAGCACCTAAACTTGACTCAAGTCGGGATCTCTGTGAATTCGGTTATGCTTTGGATACATATCGAGACCGCGCGTCGTTACTTGCTTCGTGCCTTCTTGTGTCCACTTGTTCAGAAATCAGGATTTGTCGCGGTGGTAGCGGTGGGGGGGGGTTGGACATGAATTTACCCCTCCTAAAAAGCTCATAATGCTCGGCCCACCCCCGCTGCGCCACAGGGGACTGGCTAAATAAGATGCAGGTGTGTTTTGTATCTTCATTTTTTCTGAAAATAAAAGGAATCCACCGAGTTTGTGTTGTGCAGCTTGCATCGTCACATTATGACGTCTTACCCGTTTGCTTGAATTTGTTATCAAGTATTTACGTAGCTACATGAAAAACACAAGGGTGAATTCTTGGTCATTTCTGACACCTCTTTAAAAATTTAGTTTCTTTTGGTTGAATGGATGGTGAATGAAGGAAAGCAACCTTGGAATTTGGGTGTGTTCCCCTTGCATTCGTGTGTCGTGCATTTGTGTGTCCTATTCCTATTAAATAAAGTCATTGATGTGTATCTCCATATAAAGAGCTTTCTCATCAGTAACGGAAAACAGTTCACTTGCGCCGAGTGCTTCTGCTTGTACATCGCTCTGGGCCCTTGCATTTCTGTTGCATGAACTTATTCCGATACATCTTAGATAACTTCATCATTTCCAGTGCCCACCCACCCTTCTTTCAAGACCCAAATGGCATCCCGTCTTGCTATGCCGTTATTGTTCGGTAAAGATTTATCATCTTTCGTATGTCTTTCACCTCTTATTGGGTGTCTTGTTTAGTCTTTATCCGTTGTTTAAATTTTCTTTGTGCCAAGTTTTTCGCTCGTCTCTTTTTCTTCCTTTTCATGATAATAATGCATGGAGAGCCTGCATATGGATCCCACATCTTCGAAAGTAAGTCTTCCGAGCCGTCGCTTCAAGCTAACTCTCATATCTCATTGTGGCCGGCATCTTCGCTGCATTCAATTCAACCCTACAAAGCGGTAAGTTAAACGATGCTCTGGACAGATAGGTAGAATCGTACACGTAATCCAGTTTGAAGATTCGAGAGGCAAAATTACAGCCCAAGACTTCAAGAACTGGCTCTTTTTCATAAGCTTCCGGTGGAGGATCTTTCTTAATATCTTGGCGTGGAATTTTCTCGAGCCGGCGACGCCAAGAGGCACTAAGGCCACCAAGTCAGCGATGTTGGTTCTGAAGCTAGCAAGTCTCAAGACAACTGTTTACAGTCATTTTCATGCGAGAGAACCTTCGATACTTCTTAACTCGAGGCACCCCATGAAGCATGTTTTCTGTGTTGTTCCATTCAGTGTTCATTCAACAGAATCAAACTGGTTTTCGCGCGGCTGGGTGAAGCGGAGCAAGAAATAGAGGTTTTAATTCACAGGCCGCGTCAACAAATCTTCATGGCCGAACACTTGCGCTCAGGGAAAACACTGACTGTAACGATTGAAGCAACATTTTTATAAAACTTAGCACAGGAGTTATGCTAATGTTACTCGTAACCAATGAGACCCCTATCTAACTAACTTCACATCCAAGAGCCATGTTTTGTTCGTCTGTGCACGAGTGGACACTTTGTACCAAGTTCCTGTCCCCAGCGACGGCCGCCAGGGCCACGAGTTCATTCTTCCAAGAGCAGGTCACGTCATGTATAAACTTGCAGCAGAGCGGTTCCAGCGCCCCACGCGTAGGCGACTTTTCTTTCTTTCTTTTTCAGGCCAGGAATTTGAGGGTCTGCTGTGTTTCTGAGCATTGTGTTTTTAGTATCATACTTTTCACGAGTATGCATGAAAATCTTGCACGGGCAAAAATGGGGGACGAAACTGCTCGACCAAAATCACTTTTGGGAGCTGGAGGGAGCAAAGCACCCAAATTTCTATGTAAAACCGGTACTATATGTTTGCCAAAACATGTCCGCGCTTATTTTGGTAAGCCACGAGGAAATTCTGAATACCCCTCTTTCTTTCAGGGAGACACGGAGCTTCTCAACATTTCGGAAGCCGAAAATGCCCTTGAATGATTCAAGTCGTGTCTTTTGCCCCTGGGTGAAAATTTCGATGTCATGCAATGTACTAAAAACCCACGACAGAATTTTATTGGATCCATTTCCACTGCCATCCCGTCAAACGTTTGTAAAAGACAACCCTCCACAGTAATTCTACCGTTCATGTCATGCCGGGTTTGACAGTTAAGACTGCAGCCGGAGGCAACTCGAATGTTACTAAAAACTACTAGGAGCTAGCAGCTGAAGCCATTAGCTAGACTTGCGTTACTCCTAGTCACAACCAGCTGATTTCAACACGGTTTAAAGACGGTTCGTTCATGTAGACACACCCATATATGTCTTCAAAATCTCCTCCTTCTCGATTAAAGCTGATCTTCACAAAGTTAAAGTCAAGGCATAAAGAATGATGAATGCCAAGACATTTGGTCCTAAAAATATATTTGTCTATCCCACTTACCGAGATTTCTACACTGTAATTCTATATCTACTCATGATCGGAAATGTTTCTTTTAGCAGGCAGCTGCTTTGCACACACCCAGTACTAAGCAGTTAAAGAATGCACATTGACAACAGAAAGTTATATTACAGGTGTAGTCCATCTTACAATCGGAATTTGGACGCTTACCTTATGTCTGTTGCTCTGATTTCGGAACAGGGTACGAGTTCGTAAATCCTTTGAGGAACAAAGTGTTCATATCATAGGCCGGATTTAGGTGAATATGTTAACAGTTCATTCAGCAGAACAGAGAATTGAGTGGATGACAGTCTACATTTCGGTAACTGCGTAGTTCCACCAACTAGATTCTGTATTTGTGTGCTGAACTCTGTTCTGGAATGCCAACTCATTGTCGAACTCTCAAAGGTGCGGGTCCGGTTTTAGTATTTTGTTCAGCTTACTGAACACAAAGGTCCGCGCAAGGCCCTTTCAAACCCCAAACCGAAGCGACGTGGGCACACAGTAAACCCAGTGTACCCAATCCCCCGCACTGAGAGTCACATTTCGATCCCCAATGGAAGAGGAAAATACTTGCTGATGTATGTACATTACTGGGTAAATGCTGCTCAGCGTCCCGTTGCTTCCTCTTGGTAGAAGATTTTAGCTCATGACAGTTTTATGAAGTTCAGAAACTCTTGTAAGAGTTGCGTAGCTTGTGAACTTGCTATAAACTTGGAAGACATGCCTGAGTACTTCTTTTCAACGGTGAACATGAATTTTTAAGTTGATTTTTCATTCTTGCTGACAATGGATTTCATTTTTGATCTGGTAGTTCTTGATCTGACAACTTGTTTCTATGGCGAGAGGACCAACGCCTGACTGCAGAGTTTCAGTGGCCTGATGCTGACGACAGCCTCGGATGTCACCCTCCTTAAGATGAACAGAGCACACTGTTAAGAACGTCGAGTGGTCACCATCGGTTCTTCTCAGAACCACACTCTCATAAAAGAGATATTTTCTTGTACATGGTGCAACCTAACCTAACACAGATAGTCTTGTTAGTGTATTCCCTCCAAAATTTTCTCCGGCTAGCAGTGCCAGAATTATGATGTCCAGGTCCTTTCTTTGAGTTATCAATATACCCGCATGCCGTGATATCGCGGATTGCATATGCGTGCTTAGTGTTTCGTTGGGTACTTGCACAAAAGTACTCGTTTAGTACTTTTTGTCAGCTGTCAAATGTAAACCCTCATTGTCAATTAAACAGACGAAGTTTTAGTTGACATAGTGTCACTGTCTTGTTAATTGAGCCGTATTATACTCAAATATATTTATACCGATTCCAAAATCTCACAGCGTTACGACGCCATGTAAACCTCGTCTCCTCCAAGTCACACGGAGTATCACGGAGTTAGTGACGACTTATCAGAGTTTTCGACTTGAAGAACCGTCTCAGTGGCTACTGAGCGCTGATTGGCTTTCTACGGTGGGGCGCTCCTGTGGACAACCACTTCGTGCTGTTGAACATCCCTTGAGCAAGCATCCTGGGCTTGCTTGATGTACGCCCATGCCTCTCACCTTTCTGATCCTTGCTTACATCCACATCATCGTAGTACTTAGGTCGAGCTCGACCCTTGCCAGCCAGTCCTGGCGCCTGGCTCAACACCCTGGTCACCTTGTTGATTATATAGTTACGATTTATTAAGTGTTTGCTGGAATTCGAAGGAGTTAATCTTCTGCCTCTTCAATCTCGGTCGGTAGCTGAATTTCTCCGGTCCTCTGTTTGTCACATCGGTCGCATTTTACCTTGAACTCTCGCGTCAATCCGTTTGTCTACACCATCAAAGTGCAAGCATGCGGTTCAGACAGACATTGAAGACAATGCTCAGCGAAACGCGATGTCTTCAGATGAGACAGTCGCAACATAAGTGAAGATGATGTGTCATCAGGCCGGTAACTATAGGCCTTTTTGGGGCGGGTGCGAACCCTCAACAAAGCGGACCAAGCCTAGATCTTTTGCGTTTTTATTTTGAAAAACAGCAGTATTCATGGGTCATACAAATTGTTTCAGGGTGGGGGGGTACAAGTAAACTCCCGAAGAGGGATTGACCAAGGCGAAAAATACCGAAGTGCGCGGCACTTTTTTTGCGCAAGATGTTCCACTTTATCAAAATTTTTCCTTGCCTCAAACGTGGGGGGGGGGGTTCGGACGCTGCAAGTTAATAATGCATGCCCCCATTTGNGGGGGGGGGTTAGGTAACATGGTCTAGAGTGTGTATAGGGATTGGACGGGTAAGGGGGGGTACCCCTCTGTCCCATATCTTGCATGCCTGGTATACATGCCCCATACCCGGCTGCATTTGTCTCAGGTTTTGCCACAGAGGATAGGAACCAGTCTGTAATAGCGTATTAAACAGCGTGCAAATAGATATAGTACCCAGGCAGATATTACATGCGTATTATCTCGTCTCGTTTGCGTGCGTGCACATCCAGGGCCCGATTTCCCAGTGTTAATAAAAAAAGGCACTGCCAAATATAACCGTTTTGGAAGATGGGTCTGAAAAAGTATTTGATTGCAGTAATTGCTGGGTATTTTGGATTCCTCCTCATCGACAGGTTTGATCCAGGTGAGACTAATGTAACGCCATAGGCATGATAGGCTAACTTCTGTCAGTCTGTAAATTATGTAGGAGCTCGCGCTTAAAACCTGAAATTTTGTGAAAACGCGACGAAGACGGACCACTTTAGAATCCCACAGGCTGCGCTTGGCTAATGTCTGGACCTGCTGAATTAGCAGGCTTTGATGAACATGACATCAATGGCTTTTATATCTGCTTGAGCTATGGTCACTCCATCAGAGTCCATGTGCGTCGGATCGGCCTGCAAGTTTATTATGTACGTTTTAATGTGGGTCCTTTTTTGTGATGATCCCTCCTTGACATTATGCATGAACTGATGAAGGGCCTACATGTAGCTGACTGGTACACCAGTCTGAACTGAGTTGGGTTTTGTGTTATTTTGGTTGTTATTTTCCTATGTTAATACTTAGATAGTGGCTGTGTACACTAAAGTGTAATATGCGTTCTGAGATCTTGTGTCCACTTTTTAAAAATTCTTTTATAAGATGTGCAAACAGCATTTCATAATCATCAGGATGAGCAAGATGAGGTACCCGTGATAGATGTGCAAAAGTTATGGACTCCGAAGAGTAATGACAAATTCACCATGATCTCTGTAAACTTATGATTTTTATCTGAAATATACTATTATTAGTCTTGGCAAAAACAATCTCAAGAGGGGCTGATGGTTTCCTCAAGCCATAGCAACATTTGTATCTTCCTGAAGAATGTTGTACACTGCAGCACCTAGCCAACTCGGCCAAGTTGGTGGATACCAAGTTGGCTAGGTGCTGAGTTGGTGGATGCTGAGTTGACCAAGTACCAAGTTGGTGGATGCCAAGTTGACAAAGTACCAAGTTGGTGGATGCCAAGTTGACAAAGTGCCAAGTTGGCAAGGTACCAATTTGGTTGGTGCCTAGTTGGCATGGTGCTAAGGTGACCTGATGCCATTCAGATCTCTTGCAAAGTTTATTGACCATTTTTGGGGGGTTATTATTCCAGCAAGTATAAATGGCAAGCGTGTGGTCATCACCGGTGCTAGTACGGGTATAGGAGAGCAGATAGCTTACCAGTACGCCAGGCTTGGAGCAAGGGTTCTCATTACAGCACGCAGAGAAGCAGTGTTACAACAGGTAAACAAATGTACAAGGTCATCATTACGTTAGGATGTTGACTGAGCTGGGATATCCAGACACTACACTAGATGCATAAGATGTGCCTGATATCAATGCAGATATCCAAAAGAGACTGAAGATTAAGATATTTGTTCAGTTGAACATTGGTATTACGAATGCTGATTTGCCAAACATTCATCCGATACTGTGCATGACTCGTATGTACTCTTGTATTGTATATGTAGCCTAATCTGGCTTGGCTTCCAGTGTTTGCTGGGACTGATTAGGACTTGAAAACACATAAAGACATCTTGATATGGGGCAGTCGAAATGCTAAGGCCACTTATACTCTCAGAACATCAAGATCATGTCGTAATAAAGTGAACAGAGAAATTTTCCAGTGAATAAAGCGAATGTGTCGGAAGTGGTTTTGAACCTGTTGCTTGTTAGGCCTCTAGCCTTATGTTATTAAAAACTGCCTAGACTTTGTATTTCTCTTGAAAATAAAGTACAAGGTGAAAGGTATTCAATCGATCTGATCTCTTTGACAGGTGGTTGCCAGGTGCAAAGAGCTGGGAGCCCAGGAGGCCTTCTACCTTGCACTAGACATGGGCAGAGAGAATGACACCAGGAGGCTGATTGACGAGGCCAAGGTGAGGTTTGGTGGCCTGGACCATCTCATCCTGAACCACATCACCAACAACTACATGGCACTGTGGACTGGTGACTTGAAGAAACTGAGAAAGGTGAGCCGACATAATGCGCCTTTTTTGTATCGCAAAATACATATCTTGAAATAGCATCCGAAACATGACTGTGTAACCTCTTTTTAACCCCATGACGACGGGAATTTTTTTTCGAAAGCCGATTCCAAGAATTCCAGCCTCGCTTGGCCACGAAGGCCACCTGCCAAACCGCAAATTCTCGGTTTGTGGCCCTGCGTGCTCTGCACACTTTGAATTACACAGTGAAAAGACTCATTCGGTGGCATGCGGCTCTACTCACGCCTCCATATTCCCGTTGCCTCTTTTCAAAGTGAGGACTATTGTGAAGCTGGTGATTAGGGTCTTTTCATTTCTAGGCTACACACAAAGGCCAATCACCATATATACAAGAGCCAGGGTCTGCGTTCTTTCACCGTCTTCGCTCGAGCGAGGAATAATAGCTGAAAAGCGGGCTTAGGATCTCCCGGCGCGAAGGGGTCATTAAGGTCTTTGCCCTTCACAACTCAAAAGAGACATTATACCTGGGACCTAAAATTTCCTTGTAATAAGTAGGATGTTGTAAGAACAGTGCTGTCATTGTACAGGTTCTCCCTTTCTACCTAAGATTTGTCCCTTTCTGGACTATTTTGGGTTTTCTTGAGAATTTTTCTCTTCCTCGATCTGAGTTTATGAAACCTCATACTCAGTTCTGTCTGATGGCTCATGAGAACGAAATTCTCAAGGACAGGACTCCAACGTACAACCTGCTCATTCTGGCGAAGGGGAAAAGCTGCAATGTACCATTTACGTCCCTCCAACATAGTCTCATCATCAGTGACATGCGTTGCTCAATTGCAGACCATGGACATCAACTTTCACGCCTATGTGAGCCTAGCCACATTTGCCACACCAATGTTGGCTGAGAGCAAGGGGAGCATTGGAGTGGTGTCGTCTGTTGCAGGTACACATGTAGGGGCCAAGGGTAGATTTTAGTCAAGGTGCGCATGGCACCCCAGAGATACTATACTGGTAATATGGAAAAAGACCAGTGCGAGTGACAGTCAGGAGCCCCTTGCGGTGAAGGTTTGTGCTTTTCTTTACATTTCCCCGCATATTTAGTGCAGAAATTCTCCTACATAATGCATTACATGTTGTGGATATTGACCCCCCCAAAAATGTAGACTTTACATGTACTTGTGTGTTTTTAGACTGTGTTATGTCACAAACGTCATACACATTCACAAAGGCAGTGCTTGCCATTGGTTGCTTTGGAATGGAGGGAATTGAAACAGACAATACAAACTTGCCTTTTTGGGGGGATGCAGTGGCCCGCTGTGACCTCCACCCCCACCGCCCCTGGATCCGCCCTTGGTAAAGTTTCTACTCAATAGCAATGTGTTTAAGAGTTTGTCTTCCTGTTGGTGCTAACTGTCTCTCTATTTTTGCTGTCCTAGGAAAGGCAGGAGTACCTTTTGTAGCCGATTATAGTGCATCAAAGTTCGCCCTCCATGGCTTTTTTGACTCGCTTCGCCAGGAATTTCAGATGCAGAACATCGGCATCTCGGTGACCATGTTTGTTATTGGTAAGGGGATCCTTCCACATTTGTTTCATGAAGTTTGTCTTGTACATATCATTTTCCAGTCATTTTTGATAAGGAATGACTTTTTTGGAGTGGAGTTCAACTTATGAAGTAAGTCTGAAAACCTCTGGAAGCATGAGTGTGGGCACTTTTTTACCTGAGAGTGGAGTCCAACACACCGCATCTCTACATGGTGGAGACAATGCAAGAACAGTCCTTTTTTCAGCTTAAATATGTAATCCAGAAGGGTGTTTTCTTGATCCTTAATGGATCACTAACTGCGAATGGTTCTGAGGTCATCCGTGTCGGCTAGGGCTGCGTGGGAACTGGGAGAACAAGCACTGACCTCAGATGACAGGAACTAGTTTCCAAATCATGGGGGCCCAACACCTATCACTAACTGATTTGCTTTGGAGGATTCTGTGGGGAAATATTAAAATGAACGCAAGGCTACTTGGAATGCCCAAGGGTTGATAATAATTGTTATTGATAAGACGGCATTTGCAATCTAATGTATTTCCCACGTAAACTGTTGTCTTAATTCTTTGAATGTTGGTGTTAGGATTTATTTACAGGTGCCCAAGTACGTGTGCTTCACTTCAATAGGTCACCTGGCTCCAGAGCTGCATGTATAAAGAAATATGCATCACTAGTTTCAGCCCGTCTCTTTCTTTGCCACCAATGAGGGTGCACTGGATCCCTTGGAGTGGATCCCTTGATAGCTGGAGTAACAGTTTGACTCTATGTAATTGTTTTTCCTAAGGTGCCATTGATACGCCCAATGCATTGGAGTACGCCAAGGAAGTCATGACGACAAACCTCTTCCTGACCACCTCTTCCTCCACCGCTTACCGCATCTTGACAGGAACTGCTAACAGAGAACGGGAGGTCTACTACCCCCTGAACGAGATCCTGCCCCTGCCTCTCTTGAGGGACTCCGCCCCCCGACTCTTGGAAGTGTTTATAAGAATGACGATAAAATCTGAATTTCTAGAGGAGATTCAGAATAATCCCAAACCCTTCAAAACATGATTGATGTCCTGGTGGAAATATCTGCACCGCAGAGATGATTTTTCTGGAGACAATTGGGGTACCTGAAAAAAGTCCAGCCTTGATTTGCAATATGGAAATGAAGGGAGATTTCCTATGATTTTCTTCAAAAAAGGTTTTTGTAGTTTTGCTGTTTACAAAACCTGTAGGGGTAAGACTTTCAAAACAATGTTTGGTTTTAGATACGGTGGAGGGCCTTTAATGGAAAATTTTGGGAGACAACTCTTAGCATAAGGCACCAACTGAAGAAAATTTGCTTGATACCGTAGCCCAAGACTGAAACCCAGATCACAGAATTTGAAGTTGGGAGAATAATGGCCTCTTCAACAGGACTTTTTTAAAGGCGGGTTTGATTCTGGCATCACTTTATTTCAAACACATCCAAAATTAAGGATAAAGACTTCCATCTCAAACTGAAGCCTCTTATTACTGCTTCAAGCCCAAATTTGACAATCGTGGCCTTGCAAGCATTTATAGAACTTCATTTGTGTTTTTTGATGGAATTCATGAATAAAGGAAAAATATGTACTTGACCGGTCTTAAATGTGCATTTAAGACGAACTCTGGAGAATGCTCGCGACTAATGCCCGAACCGTTGGGGAGGACATTATCAGCATTTGTTCTCGTGAGTACGCCTGATGGATTTCTAATGATATGGTTCTAAAATTTTCACGATCACACCGGTCCATTTTATGGCATATTTCTTTTTGAAAGTTGCCCAATAGAATATCCTTGTATATGGATTTGGTGTACGTTTGGTGCATGTTGCGTTGCACGCAGACTCATGACCAGTAGGAATGGATCCGGGTACCAGCCTGTGTTTTATGTAGCAGGCATTATCACTTCTCAGCGGACATTATCAAATATTAATAAATGGTCAACTTGCACATTGTTGAATAGGGAGAATGTCTGAGGTATTAATGAGTTTATTTATAAGTATGCACATGTAAGTCATTGTAACTGTCACAGGGTTTGATTTGTATTTGTATTTGTAAATAGAGCTGATACAAAGTTCTCAAATGTTAATACAAAGCATTAACATGATAAATTTGATATATTTGTTGAGAAAATTTCAAGGGATTTTTCTATGTGAAGATCATTACCAAATCTTCAGAGAAAGCTATTCTCTGCCATGATGTGGAGAAAGACGTAATATGTCCTTTTGTAACTGATGTTTGAATGGTAATACCCAGGTTATTTATCTGTTCCCAGAAAATGCAATAATCACTAAACCTCACACACCAAGAGTGTGCAAATTTTTATACTTGTAAGTTTATGAAGACATTTGCTAATTAAACCTAATTTTTTAATAAATGATGCTTTTTTGAAGAATTTTTTCAATGAAATGATGTGATAGGTTGGTTACCTATTGATCAATCATTTAATGATTGAGAGCTCTGTAAAATCATGGTCAATAAAGTTACCAACTTTAATGGTTTATTCGCGAAAAGTAAAGATTCTTGCCTCTGTTTCATTTCTGTGAATAACTGTTATCAATTCTGTTATTCAAAATGTTAATTTAGACAGCATTGGTGGCAGTATTGTATTATTGTTGGGCTTGATTGGCTGCCTGCAGGGCTGTCAGTTGATACCATGTGAAACTCCAACTTAAATTCCCCTGTTCTAAACAACGTTCCACATCCTCGAATTAAGAAGAATACAATTGGGAATATTGACAGATGGAATGATTGACAGATGCAGCCAGCACAATGCACAAATTACCATACAGTTGGAAGAGGCAGCATAGTTTTGCTCACTCTGTGGCATGCATTGTCACATGCATATCTAAGGGGTGGGTAGCATGAACCGTAAGCGTCTCAAGTATGAATTTGCCTCCCTCCCTCACCCCGCCCCCATCCAAATACACTAAGGTCTTCAGGGTGTAGTTTGGGGGTTGTTTTTGCAACCAGATTAAACCAGAAACGTTTGAATAATGCATTACAAGTGTCATTCACACATGACACCACATGAACATAATTGACTAAGGTGGTCAACAAGACGGATGTTAGTTATCAAACTTGATGTGGGAAAACAGTGAGACCAAGGATTTGTGAGATTGAGTATCTCCTGTTTGAAGTGGCAATGCTGCACTCCCCACAAAAGATGACATGTTCACCTTGATGAAAACTTTGACAAATGCACCTTTGCCAATAAGTATTAAAAAGATGGAGGTACATGTAGCTTGTATTTTGATAGCCGAATGAGATTCTTTTTTGTAGGTTTGAGGGAGTATTTTTGAATGACGGTCAGCCATCACTTGACAATATCTGATCAGCAGAAACTAAGAGAGAGATGTATTAGATCATGATCGGTGAAGTCCACTCTGTCATGGTTTCGTGAAAATGATTATTTAAGCAACATAAGGCTAGTCATTTCTTGAACACGACATGTACCTCGGTGACTAGCTCTAACAGGCTCATAAGCTAGAACTTTGGAAGAGGTAACTTGATAACAGGGTGCTGCATTCTGCAAAGGATATCCATCTGTGAAAAATAACACAAGCCTTGCTTATAGATACTATATGCCTAGGAAGCAACTTCATATGACAACCAACATTTTGCAGTCATTTGACTGCCAAACAGCACACTGACCATGATTGTGTTTCGAACATGTTTCGATACTGATTTCATTTTTTTATTGATGACAGTATTTTCCATACAATTCTCCGAAGCTACTACAGATGGAAAAAAAGTTAAGGTTTTTGTATTCTGAAATTCAAAATTCAAGCAGCTGGTACAAACATAACATGCATGTAAATTCATTTGCATATTAACCCTAAATGAGCCCTTTTTTTTCCCGGACTATCTCACAGCTGGAGAGGTGGTGTAATCACTTCCGACATAAGCAACTGCATATGTTAAAATGGCCCATGTGTTAGGCAGCTGGGATACACGTAAAAGCACATCAGTGGGAAAAGTTAACACCTTGAGCGTAACCTGTCTCAGAAAACAGGTATCTGGATTGTCCTATTTATCAATAAATTGGTTTTAAAATGGTCATAAGACACACAGAAACTGCAAAGGTTCAGCAGGAAAAGAAAACAAAATGAAATCATTGACAACAGCGGGGAGGGGACCAATTCTGCCCCTTATCAGGCTCTTTTAGGGTTAAAGTGAAATGACTTCAAAACTTAAGGACTACAGCTGTATGAAACATCGTGCAATCAACACCACGCAAGTAACCACATAAAGTATCAATACGGTTCATCACCAATAAGAGAATGAAGAACCAGTTCAATACTTGTATAGAAAATATACACAAAATACTCTCTTTTACAAAGCATAAGGTCAATCCTTGGTTCAATGATAGTCTACTCCGACATCATACATTGCCAACCTGTCCCTAACCAACTTCAAAAGGAGACCGTTATGAGCAGACCTATCTTCATCTTACCCTCTTTCGACGGACAATAAAAAGAGAGTGGCTCTGCAAAAAATAAAATGTACCCGATAAAAACAAACATTAACAACACATGCCAATCGCACCTGAAAGAAGAGAAGAACAGTGACAAATATGGGCAAGACTTCCCCAGATTGTAGAGGCCCGTTTCAACCACTGCTTGTAATACTATACTTCATTTTTAATTATACATCAGCGAACAGAAGGTTTAGAGAAACCAAACCAGGCTACTAAGCAAATAACACAGTCAACAAATGAATGAATGCCCTGTCTGTACACCAGTACAAGTGAGAGAATTTCACCTGAGCTTTACAATCAACTAAAAAAACATCCAAATCATGTTACCACAGAAAGGTACATAACCTTGGTGCTAACCAATGGGGTTTAAAAAGGAAAAACTGAAGTGTATACAAAACAATTGGCTGGCTGTAAATTGCACAAAAAATTTGCTTAACACAAAATGACTCTGGAGGTATAAAAAGATTCGCTGAAATTTCACAGATTTTCAGACAAGCAGAAAGAATGAAAGATTTAAGATTATGATCTGCCCAAACAAAACGAGGTTCAAGACACAACAACTACTTTTGAGTTACAGGCCTTCAACAGAATATCACATAATTTAAATAAATATGAGCCCTTAACAGCTTCAACCCGGTAAAGTCCCTTTTCATCCAGATAACGTCCACTGTCATCTAGGTGCTAAACTGAGTGACACCTCAAACAAAGAGCTCTGTTTGGTTTTTCTAAACTAAACAAAATTACCAAAGAACTTGCCTGAAAGGCTTTTTTGTGGGATTCAATCACAATTCCAATTCCAATTATTCCTTGATATGGATGCGGTACTGAGCAACTCACTGCCCACCACGACAAAACACTGAAAACTAAATACAATAGAATTAATGAAAATACATTATGGTGTTCTTGACAGAACTTAGTAAGTGGAATCTGTTGTGCATGGCACATTAGACTTCAAAAAGGATTTCCTTTGGCAGGGCAAGGTACAATACAGTGCATAGCGTGTACGATAGAGAGACCACTTTATGCAGCCCACTATGGTAAAATGGTTGATGAACAAACACTTCTTTTTCCACATGAGTATGGACTGAGAAGTTTTGGATACATGTGATCTAGGATGGAATTGTCCTTATGAATATCAGTGAGTGTGCTTGGAGGACTCCTACTGCATTTGCATTAATGTGAGATAACGCACGAACGGAAAGAGACAAATAACAGCAGTGAGGCAGCATGGCAATAGCTAAGTTGAAAAGTGGCTACTTGATCGACAGAAAGCTCTGCGATAGTTATGAATCACTACCACAGAGTTCTGGACATCATTCGCCACTTTCCCTCAATAACAAAAATAATAAGTGGTTCCAAAAATGTGAATTCTGAAGGAACAGTGGCTACTTTTAAAGTTTGCAAGCTGGAACCCTGCACTGCTGATACGTCTTTTAAATATATCAAAGTTTGCTACGGGAATGTTTCAGGTTTGAAAAAGACACAGTGGAATTACCAACATCACGGACATCTTACAGGAGGCACCCTCAGAACAAAGAATCATGAGAATTTGGGATCATAGACGAGTAGATTTGCAATGGTGAGGTCCCATAGGTACTTCCCTGGAGACGATGGAACAGTTCCACTGAGTTTGCATCAGAGGAAAGGCGACTTTGAAGAAGCCATCTTGGCATTTCCTGAGGTGCCTCCGCCCAGTAATATCTGAAATTCTCTAACCTCGTGAACGCTGCTTGACAGCCTGTGATGTAATTCATAACGAGAAAAATGAAGGGGAAAAAATTATGAGGGTCAGGCTATTTCTCCATTGGGCCAATTTCACGAACACACACAGGCCACGTCCAAATATCTTAGCTGTGGCTCAAACTTAGGTACGATTCTATGATAATGGCTGGAGCCACTCACCTTAGAGTAGTGTGTAATTTAAAGCTGCAGCCATGCAATTTGGACACAGCCATGAGTAGCAAACAGAGCTGTAATTCACATTGTGCCCAGTTTCCAGTATTCTGCAATCACAATCAGCATGCTGTGCTAGCAGTGCCACACAAGCCATGTAAAGCAGAGCTCTTAGTCAGGGGACTTTTTTACTGGCAGAGCTCTTAATCACGGGACTTTTTTACTAGCAGAGCTCTTAATCATGGGACTTTTTTACTGGCAGAGCTCTTAATCACGGGACTTACAAGCAGAGCTCTTAGTCATGGGACTTTTTTACTGGCAGAGCTCTTAATCACGGGACTTTTTTTACTAGCAGAGCTCTTAATCATGGGACTTTTTTACTAGCAGAGCTCTTAATCATGGGACTTTTTTACTAGCAGAGCTCTTAGTCATGGGACTTACCGGCAGAGCTCTTAGTCATGTGACTTACCGGCAGAGCTCTTAGTCATGTGACTTACCGCCAGAGCTCTTAGTCATGGGACTTACTGGCAGAGCTCTTAGTCATGGGACTTACTGGCAGAGCTCTTAGTCATGGGACTTACTGGCAGAGCTCTTAGTCATGGGACTTACCGGCAGAGCTCTTAGTCATGGGACTTACTGGCAGAGCTCTTAGTCATGGGACTTACTAGCAGAGCTCTTAGTCATGGGACTTACTAGCAGAACTCTTAGTCATGGGACTTACTAGCAGAGCTCTTAATCATGGGACTTACTCAAATTTTGCTGGTAATCTGTGAAATATGCCAACTGTAAACATCCAACTGCTTGCTGTGGTAGGTGAAGATAACTTGTACCTTGGCAGTGGCATAAAGCTTTGTTATGCCAGCTACGAGTTATCTCATAACAAGATTACTATGGGGTAACTTATGCTTTGGAGGTGGTACAGAATTTTTCAACTATTATAATGTATTGTATTGGTACTTCCCTCAATGTTACAAGAAATAAAGCACATCCATTGGTGAAATTACATTTCTACCTTGGTGCATTTCCGTAAGAGTAAAAATAATTTTAAAAATAAAATAAAATTAACTAAAAAATAAGAAGAAACTGAACAAAACCATGACAAAACATAATGTCCTCCAGTCTGCATGGATTTTTTCTAAGGCTTAGGGCAGTATGTCAGTATGTTCTAACAATTCAAAACTCATTCATCTACCATGAGTGCACTTGTAGTGGCAGATTCCAGTATGCCCATTATGAGTAGTCTTAAACCAGCAGTTGATGTGTTTGTGGGATCAGCAGAATATTTCACTTGTTTGATTCTCATAACTGGTAGCAAGCTGATATCCACTGAGCCCACAAGTTTTCTTAGCAATATTTTTCTTTTCTAAGTGGTTCTGCAAAACTGAGTCCTTTAGTTGGCCTCATCTAAATACAGTATCAAACAAAATGCGCACAAATGGCTACAGATCACAGGCCAAATTTACGCAAGGATATTTCCTTGGCAAAAACTGAATACCAACCAAAAAGGCCCTGATTAACAGTTAAACTGGCCAGGTACCATTTTCTGCTCAACAGTTCCATACTATTGGACCTGCAGTTAACAAGTTGACCACGAATGTGTCATGATGATATAACTTCTCCAACATTTACTTTCTACATAATTTTTTGCATAAAATTTACATTTGTTTCTTCCCCTGCTGAATCAGAAAATATCTCAAAGTATCTGGTAAAATAGCTCACGGACTTCTTACAATTAAGTTGAATATCAAGTACAGGTGATGAAATTTAAATTTAAGGAGAGAAGTACACTTAATGCAAACCTTACCTGCCAAATCCATTGAAAAGGGCTATAATTTCCCGACGACGTAACTTGAGACTATCCGGACTTGAAAAGAGGATTTTTAGAGCTGTCCCCAATCCTTGTATCTATGACAGAGTCCATCAAGAATAAAAGAATTAACCTACCCTATGCGCAACTGGCTGTTAGAACTTCATCCTCTGTTGATAACGACTCCAACACAACCAAATCAAAGGTCAAATCAAGTCAAATCACAAACATGGCAGCAAGAAAGGCCACAAATACTGAAATTATCAAGGATATCATAAATTATTTGAATCGCTCTTGACTTGGCACAAACCTAGGATGATTAAAGCTAGATGACCAGTGACTGTCTGTGATCAACCTGTGCGGACTTATGATTATTCAGCAATTAGACAGGATGACACTTGCAAATTTAATGAACAAAATGGACATTATTGTGTGTTTCAGCAAACAAACCTCTTTTTACATCAAATAATTTTAGAATAATACATGTGCTTTCTATGTTTTTTTTTTCATGAAGCAATGAAAGTTCTATAAAATGAATTGGTGGATTCAGTGACACACAATCTCAACAGGAAAGTTGGACTTCTTAACTTAAACATCATGCTGAAAAAACATTACCTGGAGTTTGCCCCAAAGTTTACACTTGTCGCATCCAACACAGTCCATGATTCGGGAGATATTCAGGAAATGGTTTCGAAATTCTTCCTGCGAGGCAGAAAGACAAATATATATGGGAAGTATGGGAAATGGCCTACACCACACAGGCTAATCAAGCACAGGAATGCTTCTTATAGCTGGTCAAATCAATAACAGAAAAGGTGACTGAATGAATAGATGATGACGGCTCATCTGCAACCAGAATTACAAGACATAAACATGGTGACGGTAGGCTGGCAGCCAGGTCTTACATGGGCGTTCAGTGCTACTTCAATGAATGAAATCTTTCAAACTTACTCAAATGCACATGTGTCTCAAGCTGAAAATGTGTCCAACGTAAATCCCAGTGGTGCCAAGAAATAATGGCATCATCCTGGATAAGTGTTTTATCACACAAACCCTGTAACTTTGGAAAAATACTAAGCGTATGTTTAAAAAGTTTTTAGACACTAGTCTGCAGTAAAAACCGCCCTGGGTATAACTTGAACCCGCGATGACTTAGACAACACACACAAATAAACCTGGCACATTTTTCCAAGAAAAGGGTCAATTCATAATTCACCAGGACTGAGTGATATTAATTTCACATCATCAACAACTGTACTTCCAGTGTGATCTTTGTTCTTGCTGTAACACATTCACTTTGCTTTCGAATTGACAGGTGTGAACAAGTTTTAGTCAAGCAGAGATAAATAGTGAGTGAATAAGCAATTTCTGCAAAACAAAGCTACACCTAAGGCTAACTCTGAACACCTGTTTGATAGGAGCTTTGCTGACCAGTTAAAAAAATATATACATACATGTACCTGCGATTTCCCCCATTCTATTGTGGATTATTTCCTACATATGTACCTTAAGTCTCTTTGCCTGCAGTTTGTCACCCTGGAACATGGTACTCTCATTAAAGTGGTTGGGGAATTGTTTTATAGTTTGAAGGAGATCTTCCACATCGTCTTGAATCTGTTCATCTTCTTTGGCTTCACCTGACAAAACAATCATAACAGTTTCGGTTACTTCCCTGTCCAATTTTTATCTCTATTCTCCAGTTTGGAATATCGCATTTCCACAGGACTGTTCCACGATCAGTTTCATGTATATGTGCTGGTACAATATGAAAATACCCTAATTTTTGACCTCTCATTAGACAATGAAACAAAATGGAGCTTCAGCGAATCACAGGGCCTCGCTCTGAAGGGGGGGAGATTAAATTATGAAAGTGAACCCTATACTAAAGATAAAGCTGAGATTTGGGAGAAAACCCGCATTTCTATCAGGCCCTGATTTCAAAGAGCTGCTTAGCAACACAAATTGCTCAGTAAATGTATGTTTTATGCAGCAAACAGCAGGGCACCAGTCACTAGCACTATACATATCATGACCTTCTGGTGGCTAACCCATTTTTGTTGAGCAAATATTGCCTTTGTTCAGTAAATTTGCGAAATTGGCCCCTGCCTCCAACAACACCAACCTGTATAAAAAAGTTCTGCTTCAAGCAGCGGTGCGGCCTTGGCAATGGCTCGCAGCACCACTAGGTAAGTAAAATACAGATTCTTCAGTCGCACGGGGCCCTCTCCGTCCGTGGTCTGAGGATCAAACCTTTGCTTGAACTCATCCACGTTGGGCCCCCACGTCTCTACTCCAAAGATTCCACCTTGAAGGATGGAGAGAGGACAGATTCTTCAGAGAAACTCAATGAAAACGTTTACTGGTGAAATACAGGTTCTAACACGCTGCTAATAAGTTGCCGATGCGAAGCAGTGATACACCCACATGATTGTATACAATTACCCATGCAGTATCCTACACATGTACGAGAACATTTTGAAGGAGCTAGATAGTTCCACCTTTTTCAAAAGGCTGTTAAGTGATTTTTCTCCATAGCAACAGTAGTCCTTCTTTATTGCATCTGCTAGTGGAACTCCCAAGTTGCAATTTCAATGGAACTTTAATGGTCGCTGTCCATGTGGGTCTACATATTACACCCTGATAAAAAGAGGACCGATTTCAGAGCGGTTTTGGGTGCAACAGGGTCATAAAGGTTAAAAAAGGGAGCTTCACATGATTCTATCCTGACATGAATACTCATGACAAGGACTTGTGTCTGTAACATAAATTTGTGCATTGTCTATATCTGTAACAGTTGCCCTTGTGAAAATTTAATGAGGACATTTTTGAATGACTCATACCTGATAATAAATATTTAGCACACAGATGGACATTGATACTACTGTGAAGTCCGGATATCAGACGGTAGAACACTCTTTTCTCAAGGCACATTTCTGTCAAAAAAATGACCAAGACAATGTGAGAACTGAAACTGTGGCAATTCTTCCTGCTAAGCAAGAGAACAGAGTTAATTGAATTGGCAGGATGGAAACAATTTAGCTCAAATACTTCTTGATATTTCAATGCTTTCCTAATGGTTCTTAACATTTTGCTTCGTCTTGAAGACTCGAAATTCTCTTCTGCTTGTACATGTACGTCAGCGCAGCAGCTGTAACTCAAATAAAATCAAGGAAAAGTTTGTTTTGTTTGCTTGTTGGGGGGGTTGATAACGATCTCCTCTAAGTTTTTAACCATAAACGGAAACAAATTTTCACTCGGAAACTAATCGTTGACTTCATTTACGTTACACTCTGTGTGATGATTATGTACAGAAAAAGTTTCCAAAGGAAGTTACTTCAGAAATCATGGTAAAGCAAACCGCGCCCAGGTAATAGTAACTCACTCGTTATAATTCATTTCAGAACTCCCCTCAATAAAAAAGAGAGGAAAAGAAAACCCTTGCTATGATTGCTAATCATCGTCTGATCACTACAACTACCATGCAAAGTTTCAAGTCATTTATGCTTATCTCCCTCATTATGTTGGTGTCATGCAGTTCTAATACGTAAACCCCCTTCACTTCTGTCCAATATTCAAAAATGTCACAGACAGGCACAATCTATGAAGATAGCATTTTGCTACCACTATCTAAATTTTTTAAAATGCCACAATGTAAAATATTATTAGTGTCTAGAAAGTAACAAAACATTACCACAGATTCGTGTTTTTTCACAATTCATACACGAGAAAACCACTAAATTCTATTCACATATCAGTTACATGTAAAAGAAAACAACCGGGATCAAACATGTTGCATCGTGCGACAGCCATTTCATTTCAGCTCTTCTGAGTTGTTCTCTCTTTCATTTCAAGTCAATATGGGCATTATGTAAACAGAGCGCTCCCTGTACGGGGTCACTCCAAATCTCTGTATCGGATCCAGCAACATGTCCAAGATGTCATAATGGAAGATTATGAAATTCTGAATACTTAACTAACTTTTGCATCCTCCCGTCAGCGTATGCAACGCAACTTCAAATACAAAACAAATTGATTTTTAAAAGCATGCCTGAATCTCGTGGAATTTGCAGATGTGATTCATGGGTCAAAGTTGTCTTGGAAATCAGGGTAGTCGGTGAACTAAATAGGCCACCATGTAATGAAAACAAAAACGTTGAATAAGTTGGAGTTGCAGAATGCAAAAATGATTTGGCTGCTTTGCTTGAGAGTCTGAACTTAAAAACATGCACAGAGATTTGCTCAAGGGGTCAGTGGATGTACATGTAAGGCTCACAAAGTTGCCAAAAACGTATGGATCTGAGACCATCAAGGAAACAATGGGGCTTCATATTTGGTTGAAATATTTGCTTGTTTTTGGGCAGTTACCAGACATGAGTAGAGTTACAAAATCAAAGGAAATCACTCACTTAAGAAGTTATATATTGTTGGAAACTGGTAGCTTGATTTCAAGCAAAATGGTCTTGCAGAAAATAAAATAACTGTACTTCAAAAATTTGCAAATTTATAGCTCAGTTTAAAAAGAGCCACATTTTGTAGAAGTCACAAAGACCAGTTACCTTTTTTTGATTTTGTGAGCCTTGAGCCTAGCAAGAAGAAGCATGCAAACAAAACAATTCTATGGCACAAAGGCACAAATCTTACATAAGATAAATAGCAGAAGGAGATGGTTTGGGGAGATGACTGGCCTTTACCTTTCAAGTATTTGGAAACTGCAGGGTTAAGTATCAGATGAGGGCAGCAAATTTTGAGGTTGGGGAGAAATTAAAGATGGAGGTTAAAGGTTAGGCAGGTGGAAAAATGAAGAAAAGAAAAAAAGTCAGTCGAGACATGGGGGGATAGGTGCAGGGGGATCTGTAGCAGTAATGTCTTTCATGTTAAGACCAACTAAAAGCTAAGGGAAAAAAAAGTGGACTGTGAGTCTCTTCCACCCTGTGAACTGTGAGTCTTTTTTCCACCCTGTGAACTATAGCCCAGATCTGGAGTAGACGCGTTCATTAGACCGACACCCATGAGACTACATAGAGGGGCATACACTTGTGTACACTGCTTCGTGGGTGTCATGGTCAACACTCTTTGTGCATGGGGCCGTTGACATGAGCTGTGCACGTGCTACCAAATTTCAAACTGTAGGTGCATAAAACATGCGGCCCTTGGACCAACCCAAAGAGGGATGACTCCGTGTTCATGGAGGGCACCCAGACGTGGTGGTAAATAGCAGTACAATGATGACTCTTGGTATGGGCAGATTCAGAACCCAATTTTCAGAGAGGTCAAACTTTGAGGGGGGGGAACAAAGAAATGGAAATTTTTCTCATGTAACCTTGTATGGCCTTTGAGAGAGGTGAGATACGGTTTTGGTCTTTTCAGGCACTTTTTGAAGGAAGGGAAATAAAACAGACCCAAAACATTGTCTTTTTCTCATCATTTTTCACAAGAATCATTTGGGCATCTGTTTGTCCCCCCCCGATCCACCCTTCACTATTGCCCAGGTAGTGTTCAGGAAAACAGTGCAGTTATATTTGCACAATTGATAACATTTCCACTGAAGCCCACTGCAAGTCTATGCAAACATCAGTTTTTATTTATCTATATATTTATAACGGATATTAAAAACGCGTCGGTTTCTGCTTCAATAGACATTCATGACGCAGTACAATCAGGAACACAAAAACATAAACTAATGAGGAATTCAATAGCAGTTAACAATTATGGTGTTTCGTGAGTCATGTAAAGTGTGTGAACACTTTTTTTCCTCCCCTCAAAACGACATCCTGACAACATTTACAAATCAATATGAAAACATCTCTTCCAAAGAGACATTTTAATTAATAAAGCTACAAAAACTCGCTTCAGCAATTTCATGCTGCTCTGAACTTTTTCCACAAAGTTCACAAACTGCACAATTGACCAGCAATGGGGATAGTCTGGCAACAATTAGCAATCATTTAGAAATCAATACCACAGTATATTTTCTGGGATACAGGGTGCCATGCAATGATGACTGCAGTGCTGTGACGAGTCTTTCAGTAGGAACTCCACATCTGTTCTTGAGAGAGTTAGCAGCAAGTTTTTTAAAAGCATATGAACGGATAAAAATTTTGCAAAATGTTGGCGACATTTTTGTCAGGGGAATGTGTCCCTTCCCCATTACCTCGGACAGACTTGTCTGTGAGCAATGTTTGGTATCCCTCAGAGTTGGCTGGCTCATTGGGTCTGCCAAGGACAGAAAGAGAAAGAACGAAGTATTAGTTTCGATCGTTTTCACATTTTTGACATTTCTTTGCCAACTTCAGACATGTAAACACTTCCATTGCTGCTGTATTAGAATGGTTCCGGAAGCAGCCCATTGATTAAAATGTCATTTTACCAAGGGGAACCGGTGTAATGGTGCTGCACACTGCATGGGATTTTGAAGCAGTAACTCAACGAAAACTTAATTTCTAAATACCAAAAAGGTGAAACATGGAACATACATTTTAAAAAATGCAAAAATTTCAATGTTTTTTGTAAATTTCAACTTTCTTTTTTTGCATGTGGCCCTAAATGCTCATACAGAAGCATCTGTGGGGAACGCCCTGACGCCTTTGAAAGGGTTGGAGTTCGTAATATACTTCATCCGTGGCTGAAAATTGCCACACCGAACAACTGCTATACCACACAATTTTGTGTGGACCCCATCATGTTTGTTATAGCAATGTACCACTATACTGCTTTAACTAAATAGGATTGTAAGCAGGTCACAATGTTGCTTTTTTTTGGCTGTTTGGTAAACACCACTCTTCTGAAAATCACAACTACATGACAACAGCCGACTTTGCATCATATCTCTGCATTTTGTTCTGGTGCATTTAAACAGCAAACAGCAGAAGAAAACTTGCTTGACGTACATACAAACCTATTCAACACATTCCATTCCTATTCAACCTATTCCTGTTTCCTTGATGCTAAGATTCCCAAAGTTTTTCAAATTCATAGCAAGGCTAAATGAATGTACCATATATCTGTGTCGATCTCAGCAATATGATCTGAGCAAAAAAACATGCAGGGTGGATTTGAATTCACACTGACAACAAAAGCATCTCAGTATGGCTTTGTCTGAATCAATTGGCTGTGGCCTGGAGTAACGCATGAGTCTATGGAAATTGACTGGACCTGCTAGCCAGTGTCTTATGAATCTATGGGAATTGACTAGACCTGCA